AACAAGTTGAATGACTTATGGAGGATTAATTTATTATATAAGGGAATGAATTAACTAAAATGTTAAGTCCTATTTATATTCAAGTTAGGTCAACTGAACAAGTTGAATGACTTATGGAGGATTAATTTATTCTTCTTTATTCTTTTGTACTCTGTGTTCGTTTATTATCAATTTGTTTTGATATCCTCGGGTATTCGGGCGTGGGCCTGGCCAACCCGCATTCGGAAACTCGGAGGTATCACAGGGGTTTTGCTCTTAAAAGAGGTAGAGTTGTCTGATTGGTTTATTCCTTAATTTTGTAGATAATTTCATGTTTTTCCCTATCTCTAATATACCAATTTGATGTTTATTTGGATGATTCCAGGGTTTATACATGTTGAATATTATTGCAATTTGTTGTAATGTATATGACTATGTGGTTGAATGTTGCAAAAATTTAAATAATATGTTGCCTAAGGTGGTATGTGAAAATTTTCATAATCAAAACATGCTAAATGCGATGGCAATGTGTTGATTGTGTGTAAATTGCCGATATTGCTTTCCTATGACATTGTGACCAATAAATGTAGTCTTGTTATGAATATGAATTGCTTAAAAAAAAAAAAACTGAGAAAACATGTTAATAAGTGGAACGGTTTAAGATTTTTATGTTCTTTCACATGGCATTAACATCATTTTATAATCATATGAGATGGGTGTGTGTAGAGGCATGTGTAGGAATGTAAAGGGACGAATTTACAAATTTTGAGAAGTTTTGAGAAAATGTTTTCTCAAACCCGGCCTTGGGGAGGAACCCCTTTGTCAGCGGTGCTAGTTAGCTAATAGGGATACGGGAGGTACTTGTGAGAAATTTATAGCGACTCGAGCCCCAAATGACAGTTTGGAGGTACCCTCCATCAGGGACGATAGTAGAATTCTTCTTAAGGATCAAGTAAGGTACCCGAGGTTCGGTTATCTTGTGCGTTTTCGGTGCGAGTGTGTGGATATGCGGGGATGCGTGTGTAGTTTACGGTTGCATAATGCATTTCCATGCATGACATTGTTTGAAAATGATGGTTAATACTATTGATGATCTAAATGGTGTAATTGAGACCCCTAGCATGACCCCGTCTTCATTTCTCTATTCTTTGCGTGTAAAGCATGTTGTTATTTACTTTGCTTGAGGAGATGCCACTTAGGCAATCTTTACGGTGTCTTGTGCTCACCCTCTACATTTTTCAAGAACTGAGAAAGAAATAATAGACAATCCTCAACCTCATACACAATGACATTGAGGACAATCCTCAACCTCATACACAATGACATTAAGGACACCTTTTGTTGACTAGAGGTTAGTATTGTGATGTATGATTGTATTTGATGTAGAAATGGGAACTATAATCAAATATGTATATTTTGCCCTAAGCTAGTGTATGAAGGCTATCTTTATGTATTTTGTGGATGAAAATAGTATTGAGACCGTTTTGTATCTTTTTGTGGTTTCTTTAGGATTTTCTAATCCATTGATGTAATTTGAACCGTTTTGATAAAGAAATGATGTAATTGTATCTATTTTGTTACGTGGATGATAAATTGTCGTTACTTTCATTTAAATGCATGAATGTTATTTCATTATTAAAGTCGTGTTTCTTTGCGAGTTGGGACAGGTTTGGCATGACCTAAGTGGTTAATTCACGACTTAAGATGGATGGTTACCATAGAGAGGCTAAATGACCATTTTAGGGTTTCTACGACCGGTCATAGGGAGGTAGATCTTATACTTGGAATTTTCATGCCATGTTATTGTAGAGCGGTGAGTTTCCTACGACCAGACGTAGCCCTTTTGCCTCAGCCAATTTTCCATCTTTCTCTCTTTTTCGCACTTAAGCCTGGAACTTCATGAAACGTATCCTAATACTATTTAATGACTCTTAATCACTTAATGGATTATAATAAACCTGGTAAAGGACCTAATGACTTAGATTAGCCATTTTGTCCTTGGATTATCTCGAGTTCGGGTAAGGACCCAGTTAGCAATTCAGACCCTCAGGTTTGGGTCGTTACATCTCCATACATATTTGTGTGATAATATGATGATGATGCTTCCACTGTGTGTGTTGAATGAGATATTTAACTCTCAACAATAGCCAACTGTTGAGTTGAATGAGTTAGAGGGAGTTAATATCCCTAACAATCACAACATTAAAATAACTTGATGAACACACATTCTTGTTGGATTTTTTGGCTCGAATTTGGTGTGCAAGTAATGTTCTGGGATAAGTGAATAAGTTCAAGTTGTTTAGAACCAATTCAAAATTTTCTTAAACTGGTTTGATATGATTGTAACCCTAATTGAACCAGTTCAAGAAAAGTTGAACAAGTTTGAAATGGAAGGCATAAGACTGATATGGTAACTCTTTATAAGCAAGTTGTGGAATACTTGTTCAACAAAGAATTAAGTTTAAAGACTCTATAAATAGAGATGGGTTTGGGTAGAGAGATATAGAGAGAAGAGAGAAAAGATGTAAGGGGTTTAGGGGTATGTATAGTGTGGAGAGGGGAGACTATATGTAATTCTCGAGTATATAAATGTAGCCTCAAAATAAATGAGAGAGTGAATGGGGTTTTGACATCAGGTTGTATATTCTCTTCTTTAATTTATGATAGTGAAATCTCTCTGTCCATAGACGTGTCCTAGAGTTGGGTGAACCATGTAAAATATTGTCTTGTGCGTGAATGTTTATGATTGTTTTCTCCATATATGCTTGTGTGATGATGATGCTTCCGCTATGTGTGATGAAAGAGGAATTTAACTCTTAACAATAACTGACCGTTGAGTGGGTTGGAGGGAGTTCATTTTCCCCAACAATCTTTATTATTATTATTATTGTCATAATTATTTATAATGGCGGGAGTCCTCATTTCCTTGTGGGGGATTAATCTAGTCAAATAATCGCAATCATTCAAGTAAATTCAGGTAGAAGATACTAAGGGTTATAGTTCAGTGGTACTTATTCACTTTCCAAAGAGAAAAGTCGAGAGTTCAAATCCCATAGGAGCATACGAATGTGTACTCCTTGCCATAAAAAATAAAAAAAAAATAAAATCTCAACTAGAAATTTTTTGACAATCAAGAATTGAACACAGGACCTTTAGGTATGTTAAGATATTTTATGCCAACTCAGTTATTCCGTGAGAGTTCCAAAAAAAAAAAAAAAAAAAGAGGCAAACTACCTCATGGTTCACACAGGGAAAAAAAAAAGAGAGAAATAATAAAAAGGTAAAGTACACTTTATCTCCTGTGCGGTTTGGACAAATTATAAATGGGTAAACAGTTCAGTTTTTATTACTTTGACCTTCCATGAAATTTAGTGTGTGTACTTAGTGATAACTCTTACATTTCTTTTCGACAAACGTGTTAACTAAATTTTATAAAACGATAAATTTGTCATTCTCTTAGTATAAAATATAATATAATATATTTATTATAATTTAAGAGTATTATTATTTTTTCACACTAAAATTATATTTCGACCGTGGGCAGCCGTAGGGGTTCCTAAAATGAGGAACCGTTGAGATTCGGTTCAGTTCCGGTTCTGGTCTCACGGTTCGGTTTCGGAACCAAACCAAACCGTAATACATATATATATATTTGATTATATTATTAGTAATTCTAAACCAAAAAAAAATATATATTTTTAGGGCAAATCATTTCAGCCTCCCCAATCGCCTACATCTCTATTCTCGTTCTCGACTTTGAACTTCTCTCTCTCTCTCTGCAATCGCCTACATCTCTATTCTCGTTCTCGACTTTGAACTTCTCTCTCTCTCTCTCTGCAACTGCAAACTACAAAATCTACAAGAATCAGAAGTTCAAAACCCATATATTTCACTTTATCTATCCGTCTACAAGAATCAAAAGTTCAAAACCCATATCGGCATATCATTTCAGATTGTTCAAAAAATCAAAACTCATATATTTCAGTTTCCATCACCCGCTGTTCCAGTTCGGGTTCGCCGTTCACAAGCTTCAGCCGCCGTCTCTCAACTCTCAAGCTTGCCCCCCTCTCTCTGCAACTGCTAACTTGTATGTATGGGTTTTGTTTTATTTATTTATTTTTTTTTCCCTAAATCAATTAATCAAGGTCTGTAAGATTGTAATTCTTGTTTTGCGAACTAAATCCTATTCTATTTCTTCTTTCTTTTTTCTTTTTTTTTGGTACCAAAATGACCTTTCATATTAAGCCTTGGAAGAAAGAGGGGTGGCCGGAGATTTGCAAAGCTCTTAGAAAATTTAGGTTTCCATTGTAGCAGTCAACGACAGTCAACGGTTCCTTGGAACCGAACCGTGAATGATAGTTCAATTCGGTCCGGTTTCAGATCTCAACGGTTTCAGTTCTGAACCAAATCGGATCGAACAGGACCGTGTACATCCCTAGACAGGCGAGTATAAAAAAGATTAAAATAACAAATAAAAAATTGTCCCTCTTGGGCAAGTAAAATTTGTCCGGTTAGGAAGACGTAACGATGAAAGCTGTCACAAATGAAAATTGATGGGTGCCTCCCAGCTCAATACCAATGATTACATAGAATTATCACCTTTCTTTATTCCCTCTTTTTCCTCTTATTATGAATGTATAGAAATAGAAGAAAAGTGAATTCATAAAGCCTTGTATTGTGCCTCACATTACATCAATAATATTATTGGAACATTAAACGGGTATTTGTATCTTTAATTATTAAAAAAGGTTATATTTTAAAGTGGAATAAAATTTAGTTTTATAATGTCAATTTATGGTTTAGATTTCAATAGTGCTATTGAAAAATAGGCAAAGTTCCCTTCTTTTGTTGCATCCAAACCTGACAAAAACATCATTTTGGGCCGCTCACTTTGTGTGGACATTGATTTCCCAGAAGTCAACAAAGAAAAAATAAAGTTAGCTTTTGGAAAAGTTAAGTCTCTATCAATAAAGAATGGAATCAATACCTAACCTCAGTTTCTACTCATTTAAACGCATTTGTGGACTCACAGACACAAAAATCAAAAGCACTTTCCCACTTCTTCCTTCTCTCAGCTACTAAGAGAGCTTCACACAAGTGAAACCACAAACCCTGAATTTCAACTCAGCAAATCTACACTCTCCAAATCTTCCAAACTCACCAATCCATATGGGAAATGTAAGTACCTCAACTCTACACTATTAAGTATTGAAAGCCGAGAAGTCTAGTTCAGGAATTTCTATCCCTTGAATGCATCGGTTAAGATCAAAGCTTTGATCTTATCTGATGCATTCAAGGGATAAGAACCTTTAGCTAGCTTTCTCGGTTAGACTGTTAGATCTGAATAACATTGTCCATGTAAGTAATTCATTATTCTCTCTTTGCTATGTTTATTTTGATGAATGATGACACTGGGCGATTCAAATGGCATGCACTAGGTGGTGGAATTGAAGGTAGGGTTGCATTGTGACGAGTGCATCAGAAAAATCCTGAAAGCCATCAAGAAGATGGATGGTATATTTCACATCACCTAATCTTTACAAGTCCTTAAATTTTAATTATCCGAAACTGTTCATCTTCAACCCATGTCTCAAGATTTTTTAATTTTCGGCTTAGCAGAAATCGAAACATACGATGTTGACACACAGCTGAATAAGGTCATAGTTTCCGGCAACGTGACGGCAGAAGAAGTCATCAGAGTTCTTCACAAGATTGGGAAGGCAGCAAGCACTTGGGAGGAACATGAAATGAAGCCTGAGAACCAGTAAAACACACACATCTCACACAACATTTTATCAGTTGTAAGCATGGAGATTTCCAAGTTCATCTACTAACGAATAGAGAATTATTAAGTACTAATATAGTATTGTAGTTTGATCTTAGTAATATTTATCTTATTTTTCAGATATGTTGGAGCCATTTTTTCTTTTCCATTGTTATAATATATATATATATATATATTAATGTACTCTTCCTAGAGTAAAATCATTCTGTTTGGATATATCTTAATCCAATCTGTCATGAAAATTTAGATACTAGCTTTCCGTAAATTTGATGAATGAAAATCTTGGTGTTGACCACTAAATTCGAAGGCTCTGCCAATTCAAAAATTGTTTAACGCAAGTGTGCTAGAACCAATAGGCTTGGTTCAAAATTAAAACAGGGTGGTCGAACTTTGTCTTTTTGAAGAAATAAATCATTAACACGTAATTTGCCAAAATGAGTGCCAACACTAGGTTAAGGTGGTTGATGATCGATGTAATTTGTGTTACAGGGAGTGAAACTGTAATCTAATAACGAGGCCAACAATGTATATTAAGCTCTAAAACTGTATTACGAAATGTTGCAATCAATCTTGTGTCTGAGGAGGCAAAAATATCACAAAGTACATAAAAAGGAAAAAAATGAGTTTACTTCTGCCAATAGTGCTTGGTAACCAAATCAGTAATGTTGCGTTTGATAACACCAAATCAAAGAATGAGGAAGAAGAAAATGCATTTTTGAAACATTTATCCGTGTTAATGTAAGCTCTGTTTTGGACCTAAAAACCTGCCCAGAATTTCGGAATTAAATCAATTCACTGTAAGAATCCAATGAAATCCATCATTTTAATGTTTTTAATTAATATTGGTAAAAATTTCGGATGAATTATTTGAATATTTGATCAAGTCTGATTCTTTTTGCCAAATAATAATAATAATAATAATAAATGGAAGCACAAATTTTTTATATTACCAAAAAAAATATTATATTGTCGGGTGAAATGATAAAATAATTGGGTGATAAACATTATTCAGTTAATAAGTAAGAATCTCTCTCCCATATTTCCTCCCACGTAGAGAGATATGAAAGAAATAAATATAAATTAACAATCCTTTAATTTAATTTCTACAGCAATTTAAATCAAAGGAAGGATAGTATCCGTATAAGAGGCATGTGATAGCATATGTAAATTTGTAGACCGCCTACTAATAACCACCTTTGGCTCCAAAACTTGAGCCTCACCATGCCTTTGCACTCTCTCTCTCTCTCTCTCCAACTTCACATTTTCTTCTTCCCCATTTTCCTCTCTCTCTCTCTCTCTCTCTCTCTCTCTCTCTCTCTCACACACACACACACACACACAGCAATGGCAGCAGGCGGCACCATGCTGCTGGCAGAAAACAGGACTCTTGTGTGCCAAGACCCAGGAAGCATCAATTCCTGGGGTGTCTTCATGCATCACAACCCTTTACATTATTCTGCTCCACTTCTGATGATGCAGCTCTCTCTAATTTCCATAACCTCTAAGATTATTGATTTCTGTCTCAGGCCTTTTGGACAATCCAGTATCATCTCACAAATTTTCGTAAGAATTTCTCTTTTCTTCACATTTATGCAGATTATATCTATCTATCTATCTATCTATCTATATATATACACACACACACACATTGTAATCAAATGCAATTTAGTAAATGTAATTCAATACTACTCTGCAACCCAGGATGAGTTATATAGCATATGCATGAAAAAATAATTAAAAGTGGTAGAGGTCACATATAGACACTCGAACCAAATCCCAACCACACACACACAGAAAAAACAACAAATAAGCAATATATCCCTAGAAAAAACAGAATCCCCTGGCATTTAGGAGAAATAAAAAGAAAATTAAGCAAGTCAATGTAATGTAAATAGTTGAAAGTGATGAGCATTACTTTACAGATAAAAGGAACATATTCTATATGGCCTTAAACTAATGAGTAAGGAAAACATATTACCTATGAAGTTAGAACTAGTTATCATAGTAAACTTGAATCATTTTCTGCATCAAACTGTTGTTGAACTAAATTCAAGAAACATCAACATTCAACTATAGATGATAACACCTAACAATTTTAAACTTGACTACTTGGGCATGTAAGATATGACAGCATCATTTTACACACACACAAAAAAACATATTCTATATGATATTAGAACTAGTATAGGAAAAATGATCATTGACTGCATCAAACTGTTGTTGAATTAATTTTTCAAGAAAGATCAACATTCAACTAAAAGTTTTTAAAATTCACTTCCAGGGTGGTATAGTATTTGGACCTTCACTTCTTGGGCATGACGAAGTGATTGCCAGACGGTTATTCCCGGCAACAGGCACCCTGGTACTTGAAACTGTGGCAACATTTGGCCTCATGTACTTCCTTTTCTCAGTAGGAGTGAAGATGGATTCAAGAATGATGGTACGACCAGAGCGCAAGGCAATTACCATAGGGTGCTCAGTAATGTTCACTACATTGGCGTTCACTACTCCAGTATCCCTTCTTCTAAGAAAATATCTCCCCATGGATGATAGCCTTGCAAAAGCGCTTCCAATGATAGCATCATCACAGTTTCTAACACCTTTTGCGAACATCGCTTGCCTACTAGCTGAACTCAAGATTCTAAACACTGACATTGGCCGTCTGGCCATCTCTTCATCCATGTTTTGTGATATCGTTGGTATTAGCATAACAGTAGTTGGTTTATCAATACAAGAAACTAGAGACGGCCAAATAATAACATGCATCTGGGCAATTTTATCAACATTTGCAGTGTTGTTAGGCATTGTGTTCGTCTCCCGACCAGCATTGAAATGGATTCTACGCCGTACACCAGAAGGGAAACCTGTAGGAGAGACGCATATCCATTTCATTCTCGCAGCAGTTCTTGTTGCTAGCTTATTGAGCGAGGTTATTGGCCAACATTTTGTATTCGGAGCGATAGTTTTTGGCTTGTCTGTACCAGATGGACCACCTTTAGGAGCCACCTTATCGTTGAAGATTGATTCCCTTGCTTCAGGATTGCTCTACCCGACCTTTCTCACCGTCAGTGGGCTGAAAACCAATGTCTTCAAAGTTCATCTTCGGTCTTTCTGCATTTTGGGGCTTGTGGTTCTCTGCACTACCCTAGTCAAGATTACAGCAGTTATAGTGCCTGCGTACTTTCTCAACATCCCCATTCGAGAAGGTTTTGTGCTCGGACTCATACTGAATGCAAGAGGCATTTGTGAGCTCATCCTGTACAACTTGTGGATGGATGGTGAGGTGTGAAACACAATACATTTGCTATATCTTTGTCCATTTTCTGAAATTGTTGCTAATCCTAAAATGAACTCAATTTCTTTGTAATAATAGATGCTGACTGATCAAGAGTTCACTCTGGCTGTTATCTCGGTGATAGGAGTGACATCGGTCATATCGCCACTTATAGCAGCCCTCTACAATCCATCTAAGCAACACCTCCCGATCAAGAGAACGACCATCCAACATGCCAAGCACGACACAGAGCTACGGATACTGATTGGCATCCATAACCAAGACAATATCCCTTCATTGATAAACCTGTTAGAAGCTTCCAATGCAACTGAAGAGAGCCACATTGCAGTCATAGCAGTACTCCTTGTGCCGCTTGTTGGCCGGAGCACCCCCGTCCTCATAGAGCACCAACCTGAACAAAACCTTGAACACAGTATGGCCAGATCCAATCACATAATCAATGCCTTGCGACATTTTGAGCTCTACAATGAAGGCTTTGTCACCATCAAATCATTCACTTCACTCACATATCACCACATTATGTATGACGACATTTGCAGGGTGGCACGTGACCAAAATGCCACCATTGTGATTCTGCCCTTTCATAAGCAATGGGCCATTGATGGCTCCATTGCATCAGCGAACCGTCACACCCGAGCCATGAACCACAAGATCATGGACATAGCACCATTTTCAGTTGGAATCCTCATCGACCGGGGAGTTCTAAACAGCTCAATGTCCATCTTAAATACTCAATCAGAATATCATGTGGCTGTGATCTACATTAGCGGTGCAGATGACGCAGAGGCACTGTCTTATGCTGCTCGCATGGTGACACACGGAAATATCACTCTAACCATAATTCGCTTCCTCCTTTTCGGATGTGATAACGCTCGAGAACGGAAGCTTGACAATGACTTGATCGAGGAAGTCCGTCATGTCAACATAGGAAATGAAGGTTTCTTCTATGAAGAAGAGGTGGTGAGAAACGGGGTAGGGCTAGCTTCATCTATTAGACAATTGGAAAACTGCTATGACCTAATTATGGTTGGGAGGAACCATCAGGAGTCCCCTCTTCTTATCGGACTTGATGCATGGAGCGAGTGCCCAGAACTTGGTGTCGTTGGTGACTTGCTTGCTTCACCGGATCTTGAGACCACAGCATCGATATTGGTGGTGCAACAACAAAGAATAGGGGGTAATTTAGTCGGCCGCACCGCAAATCCGGACATTCATGACAAAAATCCCCTCAATAGCACGCAATACCAAAGTACAGCAAATACATCCGCAGGCGAAAATATTACATGGACTATTTCAATGAATAGAGTATAGAATTTGTACTGAAACTAGAGTTAGTTCATAAGCAACATTTTGTTTTCATTTTTTGTCCCCAACTCCCCCTAAATCTTTGTTCCCCGTGTCCCCTTTATTTAAGAAATCTTGTTATTCATCTTTATTAATTTTCTAGTGAAGAAAAAAGAAAAACGAAAGGCCAGAAGTGGTGCAAGGGGCGAGGAATTGCTAGACTAAATCTTACAGACGAGGATGGAGAGCCCCTACCTAAGAAGATAATGAGAGGCAATTGTCCCCCATGCCGCAATTATACAGTGCCAATCATTGAGTTCGACTGAGCCCGAAAGATGTCTTTAGTTATTAATGCTGGATTGTCATCATGCTCATCTTTATAATTGGGACAGACATTGCAGAGAGTCGATTTCCACTTCTTCAACCTAAATTCTTGTCTTCTCACTGGTGTCAGGCAGATTGTGAGTATAACTATACACACAGAAGGCACATATTATAGGAGTCCAGTTTTGTTAGCTCATCTTCAGAGGGCAGGATAGTCCTAATAAAATAGTCCTAGTGAAATGTTTGTGATAACTGAAGATGGAAAGGATTAGTTTTGTGTAAATAGCTTTCCTAAGGGTTTTGGTTTCCATTAGGGTGCACAAAAACCGTGGAACCAGTACAAATCGAAAGTTCGTTTCAGTTAGTATTGTGTTCCTGATCATTACTTTGACCGAAAAAGAAATTGATCTAAACATCTATGCCTGGAATGTACTGCACAGTGCCCTTTCCCTGAGCTATCTCCGTTAGGCGCACAGCATATTCTTAACAATATCTCAACCCAGTTACCAGTGGACACAAACTTTTTGATTTTCGTTCACAAATCTTTCCCTATCTTGCTATGTCTTCCTAATTCCAATCATCGACCTAGTTCCACATATCGTGGTCACTGCAAGTGCGCACACAAAAATTCCTATAATCTCAAGTACACCCGGGAGATGCTTTATCAAACTCATTCCTAAACTCCGATGACATCCCACATTTAAGAATAATGCAAGTGCACTCTGCATTAGACATCGTACACTATATACTAATTTGTAACTAGTAGTAACATTAGGTAGCCTAGAAGATGATTTTCTGGAATTGGATCATTCAACATTTCGCTGTACATTCACCAGTAGAAGAAACATGGAAGCTGAAGGGAGTAATATACTACAAAGATCGCAGCAATAACAAATTAATATAGTATCACTGCATTAGGCTTGCAATCCAAATAATAAATTGTATCACATATAGATTATTCAGCATTAGAAAGATGCGATCTATCAACCCAAATGGCCAAGATTTGACATGGTTTTTGATGAGATGATATGGTTTTCTTTTCAACAATTGTGCCAATTTATACCATGGTGATTAAACTCAAAAAATATGTAAGTGATTAAACTCAAAAAAATATGTTAATCAAGTATTCCCAATCTAAGCTCCAAGTGAATATCCTGGTTAGCTTAATCTAGTGTATCGCCATGTGTGCTGGCTAAAACTTAAAAGAACTACTTTGAAGAATTTACACTTTGGGACTACAAAAAAACACATACAGCATATAGATTGGAATTCACGTATTACAGATTATGCCAGAACTTTACAAACTATATGAAGTGAAATTATCACCTCATTGATTCTTCATTTCATCAACACTGGCTTCTTCTGAAGTTTTACATTCTAGTGCAGCATGATTTGGAGAATCTGGAGTTTGGAAAGAGGGTGTTTTGCTCTTCCGAGTCTGCAATCCTGTAAACCGTGCAAGATTGACCCATTGCTGCACCATTTGGGATACAAAATTAAACCAACAGTAAGCAAGAGAAATAATTCAATTGCACTAGTGATAGTGCTGGCGAAAATTAAGCGAAAATGATGGATTAATGCTGGAAGATATTGAAACGTGCAATTTATCAGTTCAATAAGGCTTGATTACGTGCCAGAAGCACCAATGAATATCAACTCCACTTGCATAACCACCACCAATTACCAATACTTTATATACTGTTCAAACAGTTCTACGGACATACAGAAAAGAAATAGCATGCCAATACATTGTAGTCTCTCTAGTCAAAAGTACATACGTATCTATCATCTCGACTCAAATTTCAAAACTTAGTAATTAAAAAAGATGCAACTATCTGGCAAGAACAATCATGATATTGATGTCACGGTTAGAAAATAAACCAAAAAAGTAAAAACAAGGAGATAAACGCTAGAACTTCAAGGGAACTAAAGTGTAACTAACCTGGGTTCCCCAATAGGAGTTGATTGTCCGAACAAAAAAAGATAGCATATTTACAAGAACTGTTTGAGAAGCAAATTGGTCAGAAATTCTATGCTCCACTATTCCAGCAATAACCTGCATTAAATTATATTTTGATATCAATCTCAGACACACACTTAAGCTTGAAACATCAAAAACATATAGAAATTCTTTCTTGTGGTAAAGGAGATTGACATCTACATTGTCATCATATTGTTCAATAATTCATGATTAGGTAATCATTCCATAGATAGGCAAATGTAACATCAACCTAAGCTTGTAGCCTGAGTATTTTGGAATGTTGATAGCACCAGAGACAACACCATGCAAATTTTTGGCTTAAAAGGAAATGTCTCAGAAGATAACTCATATTATGGGTTTAACAATTATGACATGGGAACACTCGCTAAGAAATGTGTGGCCCTTCATTATATTTTATCATAATGAATAAGCTAAACACATTACGAGCACTAACTCAATAAGAGGAGCCCCATCTACTAGATCTTTTAGACCAATATCAACCATGTGTAACCTAGCCGGTCATTTATGAACACTCTATTGACTGATCCCTGATTGGTCAGGATTATCTGCTCAGGTCATTTTCCAAAACAGATTCCTTTTGTAGGACCATCTTTAGTGAATCCAGCACATAAGCAAAAGAAAATAAACCAGAATTTCGTTGACACCATGAATGGTGTAGACATTACTGATTACCTCTATCTTATGCTCTCTTGAAATACATTTTCTTTTGAACATAAACAGACATATAAAAAATAAAAATAAAAAACATGAGCACCGCTATTCACTCTACCTGATAACGAAGATTTGCCGATGTTCCAAGAAAGAATCCATATACAACTGCAGTTTTAAATATTGGTAATCTTTTATTCTTTAGATTTGTAGCAACTGCTGGGTTCAGTAATCTGCGTACTGCGTACAAAATATTTGACGCAGCCACAGTCCCAATACTTGAAATAAAACCAACGCTGGCAAGTTTTAAACCACCAAAAAGCACCGATGCAACTCTATGACTCAAATTCCAATCCTTTCCAGCCAGAGTCTTTTGAAATGCATTATCAGGAATGGACCCAAGAAGACCCTTAAATGCTTCCATGCTATCAGTTGTATCCATCTGATCAGCAAATGAAAAGAAAGACAGAGTTGGAGCTGGAAGCCATACGGTGAAAAAGTCGACAACTGATCCCCTGACAGTATCCGTAATAACATAGTCAAGTTCTTCAAAGAAATTCTCTTTACGCCTCTCATACTGTGCTAGGAGAGTAGTTGTAATTGATATAGCTTCTTCTATAGCTAATCTATGTAAGAACTTTGGATCTGCCAATAATCTCTCCCTGAAACCCTGCATCACTAAGATGAGCTGTTGTCAACATTGAGCACCTAATCAACGATACATTTGGTTTTTAATTGTTCTCACATCATCACAAAGAAAAAATATAAATTGTGATTCTCCCACATGCACATTGTGTCTAAATTTACAATGATACATAATAAAATTTTAAGGTTGAAAGCCTTGAATACCAAACAAAGATTAATTACAAAACCAAGCCTACCTGGAACCGATGTGTGAGTTCTGAAATAATAGGATATTGCTCCAGATCAAAGAAATTTTGTAGCACTTCAGGAGATACCAAGCCAAGATCAAGTCCTTTTTGAAGGTCCTGATAAGAGTATGTCACAATATTTAGTCAATCATACAATACTTATCTTGTGGATTTTATCTTATCAGTGATGACATAAAATGTTAGTTCTATAAGATTTGGTTATATGAAGCTAGCATGACATCAGAATTAATTTTTAAAACAATGGCATGAACAACAAATCATTGATAATGAAATCATTGATCTATTCAAAGACTAAAAATATCAACTAAGATACAATGTCATTTCCGCAATCTCTATCCAATGTTGCTTTCACAATGAACTCACACATTTCTTGAGATTGTCATTCCAATTCTCATCAGGTCAAATCATCATAGAGGGGTCTCAAGTCTCTAAATAAGTCATCATTGTGAATTGCTCGCTGTATCTAGAAATTCTAATACGACATTGCACATACATGTGCATAAGGCGCATTAAATTATTGCTCAAAGTGATTTTCCACTCTAATAAATTCAGAAAGAATAATTTTAAAATCAGAAATCTGCAAGTAGACATTTTACGTGTTTGTTCAAGGTCAAGGGTGCACAACACTACCTTTTAATTGATATTCAAAAGATAATAAATTTAAAACAACCACATCAGCAGCACCAAACTTGCCTGCTGAATGCTACGGATCCATTTTCTACATAACAAAATTTAAAAATTATACAGTTGCAAAGAAATTCATCACCAGAAAGGTGTCAAATCAGTAACAGTTCAACTTCCAACAAAGTAGGATCAAACTTTGCAATAATGCACATCTCAAGGAAGCTCAAATCTGAAACTAAGACAACAAAATAGTAAATGCCGCCTTATCACAAGAAATCAGCCATAGGAACAACGTACCTGGGGTAGGGCATCTCGCCTCCGACCAGCTGCATTCATGACTCGGGCAATTTCAGCACGATCAAAGCAGTTTCTACTGCAGGGTCTTGCTGCAGAATACCACAAGAAATCAGCCATAGGAACTTCTCCCTCCCGTCTTATGTATTGCCTTTCAGGGTCGAGTAAAACAACAAATTGATTTTTCTTCTGTATTTTCCTTGAAATTCTTGCTGGTAGTCCAGTCCCTTTTGATCCATATGTTACATGGCTTGCACCTGTCACCACTATGAGCATACCAGAGGCACCGCCATCTACCATTGCTCTTAAGATGATCTGGGACATAGTATAGTCCTCAACCACCCTTGCTTGTGCAGAGAGATATGAGCTTGGCCCAAAGGAAGCATTCTGATTTGGAGAATTCATATCCATTGATGATCTACGAGGGATAGAAGTAAAGCCTGAGATGAAGCCTGAACCAGCTGGAGGAGCATATATCTTACGATCAGCTTTAGAAAGGCCATGAATACCTTCGGCTTGAACAGTCCTTAGGACCTAGACAAACAATCGTATCAAAATAATTAGGAAGTTCTCCGTAATTACAATATCAACTCTTGCACAAACTGAAAAATAAGAGGACAAATTAAGAATAACAAAAAAAAATGGTAAAGTTTGGAAAATAATAAGTAAGGGTTGTAAAAATAGATGTGTATTAAAAATGACCTATAAAATACTTAAAAATAAATAAATAACTAAATAAAATTTGCCATTACAAGCTTAAGATGTAGGTGGGTACCCAAAAGTTGGAAGCATGAATATTCTGTTGCATAGATATGATAGCATTTCTTAGAAGAAAATTGCTAGAAAAGAGCATTAAGTGCTAGGGTTGTCAAAATGTTCACATATGACATAAAGGCTAGCATAAGATATCCTTAATGTAAATTTTTTTTTTTTTTTTTTTTAATCAAAGATTTGAGTGAGGAGAACTCCCATTCCAGGGGAATAAGTGTATGCAGAACTTATCTTCTTAAGCTTAGGGGTTGATATGCCATCTTGAGGTCTTTTATTCTCTCTCATTCAGACTGATTATTATTTTTCTTTGTGTATATTTGTTTAATTATATTCCCTGCCCTGCAAGCATGGACATTTCAGTAATAGATTCACAAATTCACATGGAATTGCACTAGTACCTCAAGTGGAGTACCACAAGCAACTAAACGAACTCCATTATCACGACAATAACTCAAGAGAGGCTCGTATTCCTGCCAGCGCTGAGGAGGCCAATGCGATGCAAAAGACTTTAAGGTTTCTCCATTAATCCTGCCATCATGTGAAGGCTTCAACATAAGCAGCTCAAAAATATATGAATTGATAATTTGATACACAAGAAGAATATATAAACCCCAATAAAGTAAGTAAATGTTACAAAATAAGCATATTCTACAGGATGCATGGAACAAAGCCATATTACTCTAGGCTTCAAAATAGCAATAATAAAGTTCAATAATTAATGAGCTTCATCAGAAACCTTTCAAGCCATTAAACCATTTGAGTCACAAACTAACACATAATCATAAAGTTCACCACAAATCAATCATATAAAAGGTACACTACTCTGTAAATCTCTGTCAGCAACTATCTTAATAACATGATATGTAATAAAGATCATACCTTTTATCCATGAATTGGTCCAGTTGCTCTTGTAGATTGCAAGGAAAAGCTTCCAAAGCCAACGAAATTGGACGCTCCGCTTCAACACACCTTCTTCTCAAATGCCTCACAATCTCAAGCTCCAATTCCTTGTCGTCGCGAATTGGAACTTGTTCGGCTTCGCCAAGATACACAATCCGACCATTCATCAACTTCTCCCAAACCTTCCTCTTATCCTTCCCCACCGCCATCGGCTCTCCGATCACCGTCGCATCATAAATCCTCGAACTTATCACATCCTCCTGCTTCTCCTCCACCTTCGCCTCCGAATTTGCCGCCGTCGTCACAGGAGCCTCCGCAGTCTCCGCCGCCTTCTCAGCCGCCCTCGCCACCGTCGATCGAAGGAAACACGCACCGGTGGCCAGGAACGGCGCGACCAGAACATCTCTCCTTCTCGTGTTCGGATTCCGTTGAACTCCGTCGACATGTTCCGCTTCTTCTGGTGGATTCTGACGACGACCGGCGGCGAGAACAACGTGCCGGTTCCTTTTAGTTGAAATACAGCTGAAAGCATGGTTTTCCGGCGAGAATCGTCGCCGGAGACGGTGTTCGAGTGGAACAGAGACACTACGGCGAGCGGTGTGTAAATGAAGTGGTGCTTTGAAACTGAAGCCTCGGTGAGTGTGCGTGTGCGTGTGGGGCTTCATTTCTTCCACTTTCCAGGTCCAGCTGCTGAGAATAATGTTGCCAAAAGGTCAGCAAACATACTGTCCAACCAACTCTACTTAAATTTTTGTTAATTTGTGCTGACGTGTCGGATATATACAATTTTAGTGGTCAGATCCACCAGTAAACTTGCGGTTCTGGTAGCACCAGATCGTCGTCACAATGCATTTTATTTTCCATTATTTTTGGCACCACATAATATATTCTTTCATTTTTCTTCTACGAGCATCTTATCACGTCAAAATTGAAGTACAAAGTACAATGGTACTTTGAATAATAAGAGCGGATTTATTTCATTTTATTTTTAAACAGAAGAATAAGTTGAGCGTAAAAGAAAAAAAAAAAAAAAGTAAAGTACAGTCTCACCTTTTAATGCTCGGTAAAAAAACACTTAAATAAAATTTATTTATTTTTTAGATAAAGACACCCCTTTGTACGAGAAATTAACCAAATTACCTTTTAACTATTTAAGAGACTTTTTTAACTTTACAATTTAATAAATTGAACCAATCTATCCCCATGAACAATTTATGCATTAAAAAAAAAAAAAAAAAAAAACTTTATATTATTTACTTTATTCTTTTTTTTTTTTGTTATTTACTTTATAAATATTCCAACTTCTTAAAAATGTAGACGTCTAAAATTATTTTTTGATCCAATACATATATTTCATATAAATTATATTTTGTTATTACCTCTTTTTTCTTTCTTTTTTTTTAAACTAAGATGCTTAATTCTTTCATCTAAAAAAATTAAACTAATTTTTTTTTCATAAAAATAAAAAATATGGTACTTGTATAACTTTATGCATTTTAAATTATATATTAAATATTATACATTTTCCAACATAAAAGGGAAAAAATAATAATAATAAAACAAAGGGAAAAAAAAAACAACAAAGGCATGCATAAAGTTACACTGGTACCTATTTTCTTTTATGTTGAAAAATGCATAATATTTTATATATAATTTAAGATGTATAAAGTTATACTGGTATCATATTTTTTATTTTTAAAGAAAAAAGATTGGTTTAATTTTTTTTAAATGAAAGAATTAAGTATCTTAATTAAAATAATAATAATAATAATAAAGTAATAACAAAATATAATTTAATTGAAATATATGTATTGAATCAAAAAATTATTTTAAATGTTTACATTTTTAAGAAGTTGGGAAATTTATAAAGTAAAAAAAAAAAAAAAAAACTTTTTTTATTTTTTTTATGCATAAATTATTCATGAAGGTAGATTGGTCCAATTTATTAAATTGTAAAGTTAAAAAAGTCTCATAAATGGTTGAAGGATAATTTGATCAATTTTTCATATAAAGGGATGTCTTTGTCCATTTTTAAACTTTCAGGGGATCTCTTTATCCAAAAAACAGGTAAATTTCTTCTTAGTATTCTTTTGCCAAACCTCATGGGGTGTGGTTGTAATTTATCCAAGAAAAAAAGTAGAGTACGAAATATTATCACCCAAAATTTTAATTTATGTCATTATTTATACGGGCTATATAACTGAAAAAAAATTAAAACCTGAAGCTTTATATTTATTTTGACATTAATGGCAATTAAGTATTGTTGATTTTAAAGTACAATAAGAAAAACAGTATTTGTTTAGGGTAGAAGTTCAGAATCAATTTTCACATTAAAATTGTCAAATTGACCGTCCTAATAATTAAATTATTTTTCAAATTTAAAAGTCCATGATCGAACTTACACCGTGCATACAATGTCAAACGTTGGGCCTTAAAAATAATTTGTATATCTAAATTACCATAAGCAACTGTAAAGATGCTAATTAACACCAAAATCCATGTGGTGCCAAGTCATCAAGCATATCTAATCTTGGCACGAGATGCCAAGTCAGTACCACATGCCAGGTTAGTGTCACGAACTCTGTAATAATCATCCTGTTGTACTTTCAAAATATAAAGTCAATTAAGTCATTTTGGTAACATGTGCCACTCTATTTTGCAGTACATGCATTTGTAACATATAATATTTATTTGATTCAAAATTCATTGTTCTGTATCAGTTTAGTCACCTCATTCTTTCAAATGGGGGATGCTATCAGGCTCTTGCTCGTGTGTTATGCACACTTCTGTTTCTAATTTTACTATGTCATTTAAATTTTGTAATTTTTACACTTCCGCATTTGTTCCTACACTCATTAGGTATAATTTAGTGTATTAGTCCCTTCAAAGCCATATGGAGAATGTCAAAATTTTCAAATTTTTATTGGAGCTTGAATTAGATTTGAATTTAGTTGACTTTTGATAATTATCTTATTCTTGTGATTATTAGAGCAACTTTAATGCATCTCTAAAATTTGGCGGTTCAAATTTGTAGCATTTTTCAATAGCTACGTCATCATGAGAGCCATGTTAACGTTTTGGACTCTTCAAATTTTAGTTATTATATGTGTTCCAATTGTCCATTTTTGCTCTCCAAAAATATTTTAATAATTTTTTTTTTTTTTTAAAACTTTATCCTAAAGTATATATCTAAAAGCTAAATTATAAAAAGAAATTAAACAATATAATATTCCTTATAAATTAAAACAACATTATGATATGAATTTTTTAAAAAAATTAAACAATACAATATCTATTAAACAATATAATATCCCTTATAAAAATCAACTAATACAATATTCATTAAGCCTTTAAGTAATACAATATTAGTTGTGCAGAAAAAGTAAAAACAAAAAACAAAGAAAAAAAAATTGAATTTCTCCTTCTTTTTTTGCCTAAAAAACCTTAAGGCCTTAACCGCTCTTTGGTTCACTTTTGTTGGAGAAAAAAAAAAAAATTTAAAAGCCAAAAAAGTTATTTATGCATTTATTATTATTATTATCCAAATACACCCTTAAAAAAAAAATGATCTTTTGCTAATTTCAAAATTTATATATATCGCGGGCCGACAATCGCTATATCGGTTGCCAAAAAGGGTGACTCATTTAGATTGCTATATTTTTGGACCAGATTTTGGCGAGCCCATTTGAGGGATTGGGTCACCGGGCCAAAATTGCCAGATAAGCAACCATTGGAGTTGCGCTTAGATTAATATGTACAGAGAGTGTCAAATTGAGTCATTTTTAAGAATCTATTGCCTAAACAACTTGTAGCTTTAGTATTCAACAATTATTTGTTATGCTTCATCTCAACTTTGTAGATTCAAAATTGTTGTAACATTTACTTTCATAAATTCCATTCAGTCAAGATATCTATAATCCGGGCCTTTTTGAACGAAGCATTAATATTCAAAATTCATAATGATGTGAACAGTTAATCAACACATTTATTTCTTCAAACAATTAGTAAATCTAGAAGTTACATGGATAGATGATCTGTATATCTATTTTTTTTTTATTTTTTTTCAGCTAAGCATGAGTAAGATGAAGAACTTCACATTGAAAAGAAGAGAAAGACCAAAGTTAATTTGGGTAGAGTTAGTAAAAAATATATATAAGAGTAATAATATATAAATTATTAAATTGCCTAAGGTTGTGGCCGGCTCAAATAAAATTCATGTAGCTGATCCAAATAAAAAGAAAATAAAAAACTAATTGCTAGTGATGTTGTATGAATTTATCAACCAAATTTTATTTTATGTCATACATGGTTTTCTTTCTTGGTTTCGTATTCTTTCTATCTCTTAATATTGAAGGCAATTCCGAAATATAATGGAAAAACAGTAATTAGGTTAAGGATAATGGTTTGGAGTTCAAAAGTTAGACAAATCGGACTAAAAATGTGAGTGAGAGCTGGCATCGACATCATCGTGATATCATTTATATTGCAATAATTAGGTCAAGGATAATGATTTGGAGTCCAAAAGTCAGACAAATCGGACTGAAAATGTGAGTGAGAGCTGATATCATCGTGATGTCATTAATATTAATGATATTATCCGTTTTGACTTACATAAAACTAATGGAATATGTCAAACTCTCTGTCATCACTCTTTTAAGTTAATTATTTTATGCCAAATCAATCCAACTTTTGACACACTTGCCAGCAGGTTCGTATGATGAATTGTCAGGTCTAAAAAAAAACTGTAAAATATTTTAATTATATGAAAGCAAATTGAGAGTCATTGGCTAAGAGCCTAACATACTTTGTATGTCTAGATTATAACCAGATTGCCAAATCAGCATCCATGTGGTGCCAAGTCATCAAACATATCTCATCTTGACACGAGATGCAAGTCAGTACCACATGCCATGTTAGTATCACGAGACTTTTGGTTATAATCATCCTTTTACGCTTTCTCATTCATTCTCTGCCTCTTTATATGTAGCGTACAAAGTTAAAACTTCAAAATATGAAAAATTGTAGTCGCTTGGACTGACTCGTTTTTAGATTGGAATTCGAACCGGACACAGATAAAATATATATATTTTTTTCTGTTCACACCAGAACCCTCCTGAAGAGGTTAACTTATGTCATTTGAATTATCCTACCAGTTTATTCAATTTGTACAGGCACGAACCCAACATAGAGGATGAGTGGGGACGGATGCTCTCATTGAAATTTTTATATTTTCATTTTATACGTCATTTTTTTTTAGAATTTATAAAGATATTTCCGCTAAAATTGTAATTTGTCTTTACTGAATTCTTTTTTTTTTTTTTTTAAACATTTTTTACTTTAAATGTTTAAGAATTTATGAAGATGCCCCCATTAAAATTACAATTTTCCCCCAGTATTTTTTATTTTTATTTTTATTGCATTTTATACTTTAAATTTTTGCTAATTTATGAAAAAAAAAATTCCATTAAAATTACAAAAATAAACCCACCATATAAATTTGTCCTCACAAATTAAAAGGCTACCTTCCTCACAAATTTTTTTAGATCTGAATTTGTATAATACTATTCTTTTGAAAAAAACAACATGAAGCATTTTATCTCTCAACATTGATGACCATGGGTAATTAAGAAGAGCACTTAGCAGCTTAAGTTGCATATTCTAAAAACAGTGTGTATATCTAAATTACAAGAATGTCACAATGCAGAGCAATTGTATGGGTAACACACCAAATCAGCATCCATGTGGTGCCAAGTCATTCTATTGTACATTTTCATTTCTTCACGCGGTGTACAAAATTTAAATTTCAAAAAATTATACGAAAAGACTAATTATTAACTTAACTTGTTTTGAATGAGAATGAACTGTTTGAATAGTTTAGAAGGTCAAATATTGAAACACAATAACATCAAATTATACTCACATAAAATTAATCAAATTATTCGATTCTTGAACTCTCTATCATCACTATATTTATATATAATCGTGCTTTTTTGAACAAGAAATAATATTCAAATTTCAAAATGACAGAGAACAATATGTTAAACACATTTGTTTCATCAAACAATTAGGAAAACTAAAAGTTACATATATAGATGATCTGTATATCATTTTCTTTTTCAGCTAAGCAAGTGTAAGATGAAGAACTTCTCTGAATTCCAACCTCCTGGTCTCAGTATAGAAGGTCCTGTGTTTGTTTGGCCAATATGTTAACCAAATCCACCCTCTTATCTCCCACTCCATACACTTCCCCACAGCTTCTTTCTCCATCTTCCAACAAACACTCTCCCCATACTCATCACCAGCAAAAATCACCCCTCCTTGCCTAGTGAAAGGGCGGTAAACATTCGAATACCGGTTCTTGAACCACGCCTTGGGATGAATCAATGCGAGTTTCGAAGGCTTTGACGAGAACACCTCCCTTCCATCCTCACTGTCATGAAGAAACCAGTTCAATTTCGCGCTGTCACCGTACACTGATTGCTCGAATTTCCATGGCCTCAAGTTCACGGTCGTGGTCTCTCCGGTTGAAACCGTGAGTCCAAAGGAGTTTGGTGGATCGAATGAAGCCTCCAGGGTCCTCTCTGAGCCAATCTCTCTTGTGGGGTTGTCAGAAGACTTGCTCACTGATATGCTCAACACGCTGCTTTGAAGAGTTGGAGTAAGTTGCAGAGATATTCTCGAAGGGAAGTGTTTTTCGGCTGTCCCAGCTCCTCTCTCCTTCATAAGAGTCTCGTTTACAAGTCGAATTACATCACATCTGTTTGAAAAAACAATACAAAAATTGAAGATATACCTAGGCAAAATTCATCATCTTTGATGAGTTTAAGGTTTTGTCCAAGAAACTTATAATTGGTTTCTTTATAGTGTTGTAACCTTGTTTGGTTAGTGTTTTTGCTTCGTATTTTTTACTTTTGCTAGTCAGCTAGTATACTGTAGCGAAGCAAAAGCACAAACAATATTTGGTAATATGTGATGTGCTTTTGAATAGTACTGAAGCGCTTCAAAATTGAGACCAAAATCGGAAGCATTAAAATGATGTTTTTGTTTACTTCTGCACTGTAACAAAAGCACTGTTTAAAATATAAAAAAAATCTAAAATAACATTTTTAACTAACCATTCAAAATTTTAAACTTGCAGCACTTTTTACTAATTATGCTTTCATGTTTTTGCTTCTAAAAATCTTATAACAAATTCACATTATCAAAGAAACTTCTAACTAGTGTTGAACACACTTTAAAGTAGAAACATTTCTTTTTCTTCGGGTCAAAGCAAAAGCATAAAACAACGTAATTGTCACGTGTGTCATTTGATAAATGCTTAGAGGTGTTTCAGCTCACCAATTAATGTTGTGTGTTATCTGATAAAATGCTTAGAGAATTTTACCTTATGTTGTCTGTATTTACCATGACATCAATCCACTTCTCACGAACTATGACTTTGTAGTTGAGCTGGATCACGCCCTCGAGCTGATGATAGTTGAGAGCGAACTGCAGGCGCTCATCCGGTGAAGGATTGCTAGACTTCGCGACATCCATGGCTATTACAGGACAATACAATTGAACTTTCCACAACCCTGTTGTCGAAACTGCATAGGAGAACAGTGGGGACGGTGTTTTGAGGCTGTGGTTCGACGCTCTGACCTCCACAATCCAATTAGTGATTGCAAGGTTTATAGAACGCATCCATTGCTCTTCTGTGTTGGATCCCAGGAGTCTCATAAGCAGCTTCGACGCCTCTCTTGACTGCGAACATGCTAAGTGATTCTTGAGAGTATTGAGGCATTCTGACCTTATATCTGCAGGAGCTTCATAGATGCAAATGAGGAAAGTTAGAGTGAGAAAAGAGAGATTGAAGACGTCTTTTAGATTGGTGATTGAGTCAGTTTTTGGGATTTTGAGCAGGGAAGTGTTTTTGTTTGGACAGTAATTGAGGACATCTTCAATGAGATTGTATAGAAGTTTGGGAATGGTGGTTTCATCTAATAAGTTTGTGGATGTGGAGTTGAGTTTGAGTGGTTTGGAGGTCCAAAGAGGGATAGGAAGATTGAAGTCTGCGAAAATAGAGAAGCAAAAAGAGAAGGATTGGAGGTTTTTGGTTATGGAGAGTTTGAGAGAAGAACATATGCATATGGACATGGAATCTGTTCTCCATTGGGTGATTGGTGGAAGGTTCTGAATCCAACCCCATACATTAGGAAAGGAGGAAGAAGCCATGAGAACTCTCTCTCTTTTTCTCTGAGTATGGATTTAAAATACCTCTTAATTCACATATATTTAAAGACATTTTCCATGCTTGAATGTAAAGCTTAGATTCTGATTGGAGGAAAGGTCAAAAGACGAGGCATATTTAATTAATTGATTGGATGCAGAATATCTTCAGCTTTGAGGAAGAAAGTTATAAGATGAACTTTGTACATGCTTAAAACTCATCAGAAGGAAGAGGACAACTTTTTGCTATAATGGTAGGATTTTGATTTTCTTCATTAGTTTTTCTCTCATGTGCCATCTTATCACTTTTGTTAGAATTTAATTATACGTTGTTATTATAACTAATTGCACAAGTTATAATTTTTTAAGGAAGCGGTGTTCGCTTCGTTCAGGCTTAAACATATTCAACCTTTCTATTTTGAAAGGAAAGTTTATAGCATCTGAGCTAATGTTTATTTATTTTGAATGATTATAGAGGATGCATTAGAATCTTTTCGGTAGATTTTTAATGCGACTTTAGTTTATTATTCTATATTTATACACTGTTACATATGCCAAGTGTATATAACACAAGCAGGGAATTAATTTAGTGTCTTTGGCTAGCTAGCTATCTTTTAGTTGAATTGGCATGTGAAAGTCAATGTTATTCTATGCGTGTGTTGTTATTGGATTATCTTTTGCTGGCAAAAGTTCAAGAAAGCCTTATCTTTGCCATTCTGGTCTCTTGTGTGCATGTTAGGACTTGGGCATCTTATATATCTTTCCTATCTCTCATTCCAAACTCCAGCAAAAGGAGGGTCGCGTGAAATACTAACCTACCTATTTAACATTTTAAAAAATCAGTTTATCACAGCTTAATTAATTAAAATTAACTATGGCCCAATTTGATTGGAAAAAAATGGAAGGAAGAGAAATGAAATGGAGGAATATGATTTTTTGTGTTTGGCATAAAACTTTGAAAGAAAAATAAAGGAAGTGGAAGAATTTGTAAGGATACCTTAAAGGTCATGAGTTGTTTTGTTATCTTTTCAAGAATAGAAGGAAAAAGTAAGGGCACTTGGTTTGTAATTCTAAAAATGATTTTTTTTTAAATTCAGAAAATAGAGATAAGTTTTCAATGAATAATAAAATAATATTATCTGAAAACAAACTTTTTTATAATTGAGTTTTCAGAAATTTGAACTAAACAAAAAAAAATTTTGTACAATTTTCTCAGAACAGAAAATTATTTTTATAGTTACAAATCAAGCATGCCCTAACATTTTTAATGAAACTTTGTTAATATCAAATTTGTCCTTATTTTTATAAAAGACAAAATTTATGAAAAATGTATGATACTAAATTCATTTAAATAGTTTCATTTTCTTTTTTTACCTTTTTTTTTTTTTTATTAGTCAACCAAATATCACGCTATCATGTCATTTTATTCCTTTTCTCTTCTCTTATAATTAATATTATCCTCTTTTCCTTTCTTTTCTTTTCTTTTTTCTTTTTTCACTCTATCAAACATTTCCTATACAAAGTGATCATTGTTTGTTTTTCGCCGTTAGATAGCATAGGACTCACGTAAAACTCATCGGAACTCACATCATTCAACATCGAAGAATAAACAAGTTATGAGAGTCTGTAACATTCCAATTCACATCATTCAACAATAAAGAATAAACAAGTCACGACTATCTGTTTAATACACCGACACTTTTTTATCCTTTTATCGGAGCAATTATGGTGGATTGAGGTGACACACACATATATATATATATGCCGTCTTCATGGCCTTTCACGTAACCAACTTTGTCCAACTCATCAATAAATTAAATTGTACGTCAAAGAATGTACATAGATGAGAACGTACGCATGATACGTGAAGGAGTTAACCATGGTATTGAATTAGCCAAAGTTTATCTTCTGCAGCTTAATTACATTCAAAAGCTTCTCAACTTTCTCTTAATTATGGAGTATTCTTCTACTTTAATTAGGCTAAATTACATTGTACCTCAAAGAATGCTTTAATGATGCCTTCCGTATCTTTAAATAGAAACTAACCTAACCCTAATATTCTCATACGTATATAGAATTAGACTAGCTTGGTATCCCAAAACAAAAATAATGATGCCTAATTTGACTAAAATCTCTAATAAAAGTTTGTAAGTGGGGTTTATATAAAAACTAACTCATTTTAATGATCCGTATAAAAAATTTTAAAAAAACAAACAACACTTGATTAGATTATGAATTATTCTGAGAGGCCTGACTTAACCTGATAACCATTTTAAGTTGATTAAATTACATTATCTGCTCTCGATACTCACTATTTTTTTCAAAGAACGTCTACGTAATTAAGGATGTCCACGTATACAAGTATATCAAACCTCTCTCTAGATAATGTGGAACGTTACAATCACCCTCATAGGCTTATGGTCGAACTTTTACAGGCTTATGCATACTCTCCCATTTTTTGTCAGGGATTAAGTCTGATATTACAACTAGTCCTAACTTGTATAAATTGTCAAAAATTAATATACCAAATATGATATACAAAATTATATGAGTATATAGGTTATGATTAGTTATTATATACTATGTACGTATACTAGTTCCTTATAATTATAAACTTACAAAAATACCCTAAATACCCAGAGTCAAGTATTTGTTGTTGACGAGATTGTATACTTTGCCAAATTTGTGCGGTTTTAGTTTATGCGACACTTGGAGGAGGAATCTACTACTATATGATCATTTTGACTTTTGGCCTCCGGAATGCCATTTGATGCAGATTGAAGTTGTCTCTAATAAAGCCAACAAAATATGTATCACGAGTTCTATAATACGTGTTGCTCTTGTTTACCACAGCCATCATAATCATTCACATTCAATGAAACGAGACTAATTCTCACTGCAATTTATCTACTAAAATTTATTTCCCGCGGATTTTTTTTTTTTTTTTTTTTCTTGGTTTGGGTTTGATTTATAGCAAGTAATTAAATCCCTATCTTGTGAGTGTTTTTCTCTTTTTTTCTCCCTTTTATTTTTTATTTTTTGCTGACCAAAAATCGAACATCTCATGTGATAATGGTTTTCTTTCTTGTTTGATAGATAACTCTTTACTTGGGGAAAAAAGAAAAGTTAAAAAGGCACGTGACCAAAATATGAGCCTAATCAATAATATCCTCATATTATAATAATATATTATATTACATTTTATATAAGACAAAATTGTTATTTTATAAAAATTGATCAACAATTCTGTTAATAAAAAACACTAGGGGTGTCGTTGAACCATGGACCAGACTCTAGAGCAAGATCTGGCACACTGCAGAGAGTTTAAAATCCTTTGAAGAATTGATTAAAAAATTTCTCCCAAGTCTTACCATTCCAATTATGCAATAACCATGAAATCAAAAAGTCCAAGTCGAGAGTTGCAACAAAAAAGAAAATGGCATAAAAGTTGCAATAAGTGCAAAGAGAAGCAGAAACCAACATCATCATATTTAAGCTTTACCAGCTTCTTCAAAACGAAAAATTAATAAACCTATTATCTGCTCAACCAACCCCTCCTACAAAACAAGAACTCCTTTATAAACATCTTTGGCCTCAATATGTCAAAATTATATGTTATCCAATCATTATATGAAAATTAAGGAAAACAGAAAAATAATAAAAATTTGCTTATAATGCTAAAAGGGAACTATTCTATGAGAGTTATATAGTATAAAGTTTTAAACAACCCCAATAATCATAAAAAGAAAAATAAATATGAAAGATTATACCACAATCAGTAGAATAGTGGTGACAGAATAAAATCTTTCACATCATATGCATACCATGAATAACTTCTTAAGGAGTAAAAAGAAATAATCAACATCCAATTATGCAAGGCAATGAGCAAGAGAGGGGGAGGGAGGAGAGAATTTATGAAAAGAAGTAAAATTAAGGTTAATAAAATATTATAGATACAAAGTTCGAATTTATTATTATTATTATTATTTTAAGTCTTGCAATATCATTAAAAAGCAAATTGCTAACACAATCTCTTTCTAATGTCTCTCTATTTATTGCTCACATATATATATATATATATATATATATATATATATATATATATATCAATTTCTTCTGCTAGGTTCTCACATAGATCAACTAATACGATCTCTTTTCTATAAAGATAAAACATGGATATAGCATGCATTTGGCCCCTGAACATAGACACAAAAATGGCCTTTTTAGGATTAAATTTCTCTTGATCTACCTACAAAAATCTAAGGTTGCAACTGAGTTTATGGATTTCAACAGGTATATTCCCACCCTAGTTACCGAAGAAAAAGAAAACAGACAGTTGATAGATGATCGAGCAGAAGAAGAGATCATTTGAATTGATATATGAAATAATGGGAAAAAGCTTTGCTAATATTATCAAATAATGGGGAAAAAAACTTTGCTAACTTTTTAATGTCGTAAAAAGTTCCAAAACGTATAAATAGAGTACAAAATAGAAGGAGAAAACTGAACACAAAATTTACACCCACATACTTCATCTACCATCCTTCACATAACCACTCGTTTCTTCTGCAACCATTTCCCACACATTTGCCATCTTTTCTGCATATCCAACCTGTTAAAACAAGTGATATGACTACTAATCTTGTTCAAACATTTTGAGAAGGGGTATCGAAAACGGCAATATAGAAAGAAAACCATACAAGAGATATAATTTCTATAGTTCAAGCATATTGAGAAGGGAGCTCACAAATGGGTAATATAGAAAGAAAAATATACAAGAGAAAAAGACAAAGCTAAATGAAAGGTTCAACCAATTTTGGTAAAAATCAATTGCTCCAGTCCTACCAAAACCGAGAAAGAGGAAAGGCAAAGAAGAGGAGAGGAAGAGAGAGGGGGGGAGGGGGGGTAACTATGACCAGGCCCAAAGAAGCAGGACTTTCATCAACCATATTCTTCAATTTAACCCACAGGTGAATGTTCTTCCTGGCGCAAGTTTAACTGAGTCTATCTAGATGCATTTTCAGCAAGATTTGGACAACCTAAACTATGTACCATGCAGGTTTTAATTTAGTCTATCATAAACGGAATGGGATGGGGCAATGCACTAGCTCATCATGCAAGTTTTTTTTTTTTTAGTTAAAAGGGTAAGCTTCTCATCACGCAAGTTTTTCTCTCTCTAGCTCACCATTCTTCTAGGCTCAGGTTACCAGTACCACAGGGGCCTGTTCCAGATATCCAAAGAACAAAGACAGATTGTTCCAAGAAAAAGGTGGAATCGTTGCTCCAAGAAACCAAGTAGTGAACAATAAGCAGACTAATCCATGGAACTATGGAGGGGATAAAAAACAAGGAGTGAACCAACTTGGTCCACTTCCTACAAATCCCAATAGCCACCAAAATTCCTCAAGTTCAAGCATGTCACTCTCCTAATTTTATACCTTAGACAAAAAACACCACCCTAGATCTTATACAAAATTGGTGTGAATGAAGAATAAATAGACCATGGTGAGACCACTAGCAGCTTCACACACCAAGAATTTCAAATAAATAAATAAATACATAAAATAATGTTAAAGTGTCAAAAACAGAAATAAAAGGTACCTGATTAACTACGAAACCTTTCAGCATGCACAGGAAGTCATCATTAATCTCTTTGTCCAGCCTTTCAAGCTCATTCTTATTGTTATCCTGCAATCATTTCACCGCTACATATTTAAATGACTCACCGTGAAAAAAAAAAAAAAAAAAAAACTGTTGACATAATTTATATAACTGATGTAAGTTCAAAAAAAAATAATGAGAAAAGAAGCATAATTCCAACTGAAAGCATTTAAGTAAATAAACCAACAAAACGTATATATATAACTCTATATACACACATATATATATAAAATCTGGTAGTCTCTCAAAAATAGTCACTTGGGGCACACACACACACAAAAAATAAATAAATAAATAAAATGTGATGAAGAAAAAATTAAGCAAGAATTGTTGTTGGGTGAAAAGAAGACACAAATTTGTTGCTGAATTGCATAATTACTGAACAGTGACAAATTGAGCCAATATGTTTGTACATTTAACCTAACAAGTTATGAAAAGTGACATATTAAGGAGCAGAGAAATTATTTCACCACAGTGCAACAGTAGTTCTCAGTTCAATATAAAATAGTTGAGCACTGAGGATTGCAAAATGACCCGCCCCGTTCCCTCCCCCCAAGATTTTTTGGAGGTTCTCTAATAGGGTTTGGATGGGGAAGGGGTTAAGGAGGAAAAACCCGCACAGGTTCGGTGCAGGGACAGGAAAAGGTACCTCTGCCCCTGCAAATGCCCCATCCCATTCCGTTTATGATACAAAAATACAATATTACCCCTATACTTTAAAAAATATACTAAAGCACCACATACACACACATACTTATGACTCAAGTCTGAACCTTAAATCTAACACCTCCAACACTCTTTACTACTACCAGCAGCCCCCATGCAGGGACGCCCCCTCCCCAACCTCCCCTTGATATTCAATCCCCATAGCCAACATGCGAGTGTTCAAGGATCTGTGATTAATCCATCAGTTGCAAATCTCCTACTCTAGAATCGGAGATTTCGAACCACACAGATACTTCACCCCCCATAGACGTTTGAGTGTTTGACGATCTGTGAATAATCCATCAATTTAGAATCCTATCCATAGTCAACGATCTGTGAATACTCCATTGATCAGTGAAGTTCTGCAATGTTTGACTTTCGCAAGGTTGGTTCTACAAAGTTATCTCTTTCACAGCTTGAGTTCGGTAGGGAAGAGCAGGGTCGCACAGGAGAGGGGTGGGATAATTTAAACGGGAGAGGAGGGCTCTTCTGTTAAACAATTTTAGGCTGGGATAGGGAATATGCTTAAACTTAGATAGGGATGGGGAAGGGACCCCCTCCCTGTTCCAACCCTAGGCACTGTCAACATGTCAAACTAAATCGATAGAATCTACAAATAAAACAGGTTCCATCAGCAATGAGCCCGGAGCATACATACAAATTCCTTCAGATATATATAAAAATATATATAAATAAAAAAAATCTTTGAGAATTCTAAATTTTATAAAACAAAAAATGCAAGAAGCACTGATCAACTTTAAGATATCTGGAACTCTCAAACAACATATTAATCATAAGAGCAATTGAGAAAGATCTAAAAGTTGTTATTAGAGCAATTGAAACAGAAAAAATAGCTTCAATTTCCATTGCCTTAGACTGTACCGGACACAAGATGTTAGTTACCTTGATCCGTTCATATTCATTAATTGCACAGCTTTTAGCATCCTCTGTAATTCTGACAGTTTCTTTCAGCTCTTCTATTTTTCGAATTCTAGACCTATCTCCACCAAATATTTTGGATGAAGCAGCTTCAAGCTTTTCAATCCTTGATTCCAAGGAAGATAAGTCGGATAAAAGAGTCTGTACAGTTAGCAATGCACTTGATCTGTCTGAAAATGCATTGTTGACAGCTAACATCACCCCAAGATACTCATGGAGTTTAGCCTGCAATTTGTATAACATAAGAATGTATAAACAAATAAAAACAACATTTCCTTCAAGGGCAGTGAATAGTGAGCCAAAATATTGCATGCACTGAATTCACTCAATTAAGAAATTTTCCTGATTATGTAAAAAGCTTTGGGTGCCTCTAAACAGTTACGAACCACCTAGGTCAAACATCTAAAGTTCAAAAAAACAAAAAACAAATATCCACAGATTTGGTGGAAGAAAGCACATGATAAATAGTACAAAATTCACCACCGGCTATTAGATTGTGTGATTTTACCTGCACTCAAAGCTATAGCTGAAGGGTTCAAGTTCCATTCCGATGTGTGTGTGTGTGTGTGTGTGTGTGTGTGTGTGTCATTCCTATAAAATAGATAAATATGCATAAAGTAAAATTCTTGTACTATACCAAATGTTTGACTGTTTGTGCATTTAACTCCCGATACAATCTGCTTGCTTTAACAGCAGCAGTTGCCACATTTTTCATGTCAGCAGCCCTCACTCTCTGCGAGTTATAAATAGCTTCCTCTGTCTCGAACTTTGTCAGTTTGACAAAGGCCAACCCCAATTCTCCCAACGTCTCTCCAATGTCTTGCTGAGCTTTGACAAGTGATTCAGCCTAAAAGGATCAATAAAAATAACAAAGTTCTGAGTTTCAAAAAAAAAAAAAAAAAAAATTACTTTAACTCATACCAAAACTAAAATTGCTAATATGAGGTTGTTAGTACATGATATATTTATAGTTGCATTAGACTATAAGTAGGTGGTAGCCATTCCAACTCTGCCAAGCCAAATTCAGGTTGTTCAAACAAACACAAATTCAGCTTGAGTCACAGTGGCCCCAACAATGCGTAGTTGAGCTTTATTCATGCAGATTCAACCAGGCTTGATCACAAGTAACAACGTAATTACCAACTACAACAATCATACCAACTACAACATACTTTAAGAGCTAGCTAAATTCTCTATCATCCATCTACAAATTATTTTCCTTTTACTTAATCCGTTTTGAGTAAATATATATTTTTTTTTGATAAATATTCCTCTCTATAACTTAAAGTTGCATGCTTTCGCAATCCATTATACATAATCTAAACCTATCTATCTATATATACACACATATACATAACCATGGTCTGAGTCAATAAATTGAATGAATAATTGAACACAAAAACTGACCTGCTGAGACACATTACTGAGTTGTTGCTCAAAATCCTGCAACTTCTCTTTCTTCTCCAAAAACTCCTTATCCTCCTCCACCACCGGCGGCTTTGTCCCACCCCAATCATTAGCCACATACTGCTTCAACTCCTTAAAGAGCCTCAACAAGTCTCTCCCTCCCTTCGCTGGCTGCACGACCTCATTCGGGTCCACCATTCCTACAGACTCCCCAAACAGCTGCCCCGGAAGCTTCACTGCTCCGTCCAGCATCCTCGACGCCACATCCGTGGTCTGTACCAGCGGAAGCTTCCCCTGCACCTGCAAAAACACTCTCAATTCATCGCTGTTCTTAATCACCGGATGCGCAGCCAATCTACGGAGGTATTTCTCCAATGCCTCCCTCCTCTGCTCCACAAATTCTTGTTTTTGCATCACCTGAGACTCCACCACATTCTTATCTGGCCTTATCGGCACAAAAAACCCTCGATACGACTCCGATAACCTATCGGAAAGTGTGACAATGTCCTTGAACCGCCTCCGAACACTGAATTCAGGTCCACCAAACTCCGGCATGTTCGTTCTCGTCGTAATCAGGTAGGTTATATAGGTGTTTCCGCCAGGAACGAGCGAATTCGAGAGCTCTTGCTCTCTCTGCGGGTCCGAAACCGAAATCTTTATATACTCGGAGCTCGACGACGGCGACGAGGATAGCACTCCGGAGCTATCGTGGCCGTTGATCTCGCCGCTGCTGCTGTGGTCTCCGTCGAAGGATCTGAAGATCGCGTCGGCGTATGAGGGGGGTTCGAGGATTGAATTGAAGGAAAAGTTAGGGCTTTGAGAGTGCAGAATCGACGATGGAGAAGAGATTTGGGGATCATCGTCGGTGGCGATCTCGGCGAACGGTAGGGATGATGATAAGGGATCGGTGTGAGAGTCTCCGCCGTTGGATGGCTCGTCGAGGACGAGACTCTCCATCTCTTCTCGCGATGCGTAGAGATGGGCTTCTTCGTAGCCCTGGTTCTCATACCCCATCATTTTTGTTCTCTTTCTTCACTCTAATTTGTTGAAAATATGAATAGTTTTGAGAGATCTTTGTTTTCTACAGTCGAATGGCTTTGTTTGTCATTTTTACGAATTGAGAAGCTATATCGCCGCCGTGGGCGATTGGTTTTGGTGGTGGTTGTTGCTAAGAGGGAGGAGACGACGGCGACAACGGTAGTGAAGTGAGGAGGAGACGGTGATGAAACGGCATGTGGATTCTGGGATTACACGGCAAGTGAGGGAAGCGACACGGTATGAAGAGTACAGAGAGCTTGCAACAAGGTCCGAGTCGTTGGTGTTGACTCGGGGTCACAGAGTTAACTCGGTGAAGAAATAAGAAATAATTACTAGACAACTCCATAATTATGATATTGAATAAGATTTACATATTTAGTATCGAGTAAGTACATTCAATATTCAATAATAACAAAGAGTGAGTGCCCTTGACATCATCATTTCAAAATGATCAACGTACTGATTTATGTGAGTATAACATTTTGTGAAGATTAATTCATGTGAATTAAAGAATTATGATATGAAGTTCTAGTTAGATAAATTTGATTAATTTAATAATAAATTTCTAGTTAGATAAATCTCTTTAACATGATAATTAAAAAGTCAAATAAATCTTACTAATTTAATATTAACTTTTACTCATATAAATTAATTAAAAATATTTAACTTTTAAAATCGAAATTATTATCCCATGAAAAAATTCAAAAAGAGTGGACTCTCGACAATTGGGGTAAATAGTGTGTTTCCAAGCCCAAATAAGTATTGCAGAAACATATAAATGGATTATATGTAATGGGCTAAAGGGTTTTTTTCAGAAAGTGAGACTCTTTTAGCCCATTAGGCTGAAATAAGAAAAAACAAAAAATAATAATAATAATAAAATCTAAAAACGCGTTGTCGAAAAGTTGAGTCTCACTTTGAAATAAATTTGGATTAGAAAGTTGTTTTTTGTATATTAATTATATATTATATTTTTCATTATTATAAAACGAAATTGTGGAACAAATATTAGATTTTATTAATTTCCAAGGAATAGGAGGTAGTCAAATTATTTTATAATAAAAAGAATTTTTTTTTTTTTTTTTTTTTTAAACTTGAACTCTCATCATTTACTTTAAAAATTAAAAAAGATACCATTGAATCACAAGGCTCTTAATACATGACAAAGAGCTTGACTGTGTTAACTTTCTTCAAAATTAAAGAAAGCTCAAAGAAAAAAAGACATATTATGGATGAGTTAGATCATGAACTATATTTAAAATATTCAAAAAAGAAAAAAAAAACTTTGTTGTTCTTGAAATCTTGATACGTGTTTACTGTGAGATCTGCATTCAAGAACTTTTGACTTAAAACTTAATTTTGACTTCCTGGTCAATTGAATTTAATGCCTACAAGCATATTTTATTTTATTAGTTTACTGAAATACTACTTCAATTGAGGACAGATTTTGCCCCCAGCCTCTCACACCAATTTTTTTTAATAATTCCATAATTATACATTGCTTCTCCCTTGTGTCTAAATTAAGAATTCACTTTCTTTTTTAATTTTGAAAAATCAATTAAACATACACCCCTTATATATTTTATGCATCCGAGAGAAGAACGTTCAACCTCTTCATTTTAAAAAGAAAATTTATACCATTTAAACTAGTGTCCATTGGTTTAAAAGGTCAGCTAGTTATTACACATTTAGTTATATAAACAGGAAATGTAAGGCCAAATGGACAATAATCCATTTATTTGTATTTTATGACCAATTGGCGGTGTGGGATGTCTCAATTTTCCATTTTCTTCTCCATATTTTCTATTTCCAAGTTGTCATTCATTCTACACTTCAGCAATTGTACTTGGCTTTACACTTATTTTGGAAACTAGAAGTTCTTGTTATGGATTCATTTTTTCATTCTACACTTTATTATTGAGATAAAGAATATCTGTAGGTGCAAAATTTCTCATTATAAAAGAAATTAAGAAAAATAATACAATTCACTCAATATAAAACAATATTTAACAACCATTACTTAGATAAAAGCGTATATTGCTAGATGATCTTTATTGGAGGTACATGCCTCTATTTATATGCAAAAAGATGATAGAATTATGGTAGGATTTTGTCCTCCAATACATTCTATCTATAACTCTTTACTTATAAAGTTACTTCCTTTTATAATTATTTCTATGTCAGACTTTTCCTTTTGTAGAACTTTTTTTTATGTAGAATCCTTCGTTTAGTAGGACTTATTCAATCTTTCACACATTTGGACCGAATACATCTTAGGCCGGCTGAGCTTGCTTAACGGGCTGAAAGCTTAACATTAGCGATCTTGTGCTAATAAAGACTTAATTTGCGGTTGACCAAGGCTGGGCTTTTACAATACATCCAAAGGTTAAAAGCGTGGTTTTTTTTTTTTTTTTTATTATAGTGACGTGAACAATTCTTATTGGAGGGGAATTTTTCCCTCCACAAGCGTGAACATATTTTACAATGAATGCCTCCGCCAGATAAGCCAACATCCCTCCGACAATACATTCGAGACCCAACAATGTTGGCCACACACATTTTCGGTCGCTTTAGAAGAATTCGCAATAGAGCGGATAAAGCTGATCTCAAGAGACATTTGATGAAACATTTGTGTAATTAATTTAGTGGTAAAGATGTTAAAATTTGGTATAATCAAATAAAATGTAATTTTTATATTATTAAGCAAATTATTTAATCAGTGATGAAGATGTTTAAATTTATTGTAATCGAATAAAATGTAATTTTTTATATTATTATGCAAATTAATTAAATTATTATGTAATAAATAAATAAATTAAATTGATAAGTCAAAAAGTACGAATAATTTTTTTTTAAAAAAATAATTAAATTCTTATGCAAATTAAATTACTCTTTTTATTTATTTTTTAAAAAAAATGACTCTTTTTTAATTAATTAAATTATGACTCTTTTGACATTAATTATTTAATACAATACACATAGAAAAACATACACAATAAATCTTAAATAAATACATATAAGAATTATTCTATACACCATCACACAATATCATTTTTGCATTTTATATTATTAATCACACACAAAGACCGATCAGGCGCTACTCAATTCTCCATATATGAAAGTATCAAGTGTATAATATGTAGTGGGGGTCCACGAGTATGAAATGCGCTCACCAAACACTGCTTCTCGACGACAACAGCAGATATTTTCCACAGATGGTTTGTGCTAGGATGCTCTTAGGGAACCACATTCTCTCGAACAGATTGTTCTATGTTTAGATTGTTATTCAGAAATTTGATTGATTTCATAAACTACATATAAAACAAGTTTATACTAACTCATAAAGTTTATGAAGCCATTCACATGCTGATTTTTAATTTTTTTTCAAAAAAAATTACCCACCAACTTACTCTTCAACAACAAGAGGTAGAAATTTATTAATAGCATACTCGACCAAACGGGTAATTTTCTCCCCAGCAAAGAATGCGATTACATTGAAATTTGAGAATTTTTATGGTATGGGATCATAGTCGAAATAGAATCATAATCTAAAAGTATCTATTAATCATAGTTTTAAAAAGTCAGGTATGGCCTGCAATAATCTATCTTCTGGGCATACAATGATTCTTTCATCGTTGGGGCGTTAATTTACCTACTAAAATATCCCCAGTCTCTGAATCATGAAACTTTAACCAATGTATCTTGCAGCCCGTATTGTTTGTTGACCATAATTCATGAACCCAGTTACCATAGGGAACATAGAGCGAATATCTATTAAAAAAAAAGTTTATGCCTGTTTCTTTCTTTTGTTTCCTTTGATTCCACTTCCAGTCCCTGTGTTAATAAGAGTAGGGCTTCTTCTTTTTCCAACGGCAACAAAAAATCTCTGCCGTATATGGGCTTTGCAGCCCGTATTGTTTGTTAAGTACTCATCAGATACTGAAATATTGATAGGTGTAGAATCTGCAGATTCTATCCTGAGAAGATTATTAGTATCTGCAGGGCAGCCCTCTAAACCCTAATGAACTGATCAAACACCAAATCAATAATCAAACTCAGTTGGATCAAGAACACATAGAACCACCTTTCAAAAAACACACACACACACACACACACACAACCAACCTAACACAATATTTGACCAAAAACAATGTAAACAAAGGCATTGCATGCAATATTATTACCCATATTTAGGTGCAATTTCAGCTCATAAACACAAAATTAAACTTAGAAAACAAAGTAATCTCCCGATTGCGCTAACCTCCGCAGAGTACTGTAGCACTTTGAATCTTCCAAACACCGCTGCTGCATTTGGGAAGAAGGGCACATAAATTGCAGGCCTAAGGGTTTCTTTTATATGGCAATTCAAGAAAGATTATGTTAGTGTTAGACAGTTAATTTTTTTCAAATTAATGTGAAGTGTGACACAATTAATTTATGACCTAAAATGGTCCATTTGTTGGATTTAATTTGTTTTAATGATGGAAGTAACAATGAAAAAAATTCTCACCCACCTATAACTACTTGTGAAAAACGAGTACCCAACTAATTAAAGACTAACTAATAAGTGGTGTGGAAGGCAAAACATGATCAGATCTAGGGAATTTAACTTCAGCTCTTCAATCAATTTTTTCCTATTTTCCACTATTTTTTAAGGACTTCAAATCTTCAATCTCTGTACTTTTTTCTTCTTATGCATCTCAACAAGTCAATAACAAACTTGCCAACTTTGATTTTTATGTTCTTTCTTGTTCAACAGTCTCTCTCTCTCTCTCTCTCTCTCTCTCTCTCTCTCTCTCTATATATATATATATATATATATATATATATATTTATACTTCAATTTAAAGAGACTAATGGTTGTCACTCTTCTTAATTATATATATATATATATATATTTATACTTCAATTCAAAGAGACTAATGGTTGTCACTCTTCTTAATTACTTCTTTTATTTCGGTTGTAAGTGTAACCATCCCAAGATCAAGAAAAGGTGTAACAAAACAAAATCATTTTTCTATAACTTAAAGAAATTTCCATCATCAATTATACACTATGATGCGTATATATAGATTAAGAGTTAATTTGAATAATGAAGAGCGCGAAAAGAAAAAAAATGATAACATTAATTATGAGAAAGAAGAAAAGAGGAGGAAAAAAAAGGAATAAACTATGAAGAAAATGAAAGCATTCTTGTTGAGACAGTAAAAAGAGAAGGAAAAGAAAGTATTTTAATCAATTTACAATTATATTCCAATGTTAAGGGGTGGTGACTCAAATGTTTTTAAAATTTTCTTTATTAAAATGTTAATGTTATTTTCTTATTATAAAAGTATAACTTGAGTTGTTACATTTCTCTCTAAAATTTCTCATTTTTTGAAGGATAATCAAAGGGACTTCTCCAAATCCTTTATTTTTTCTTGTTAGTAATAAACTAAATATAAAAATTACTATCATTCCCTTTGTTATATATATATATATATATGTATGTATTTCTTTTCTTTTCAATTCCACCAATTTAAACCGCTGATTTACCAAAAAAATTCCATTTCATATAGATATTTTAGTCAAATCTACTTTTTTCACCAACCCTAAAAATTCATTCATATAGATATTTTAGTCAAATCTACTTTTTTTCACCAACACTAAAAATTCATTGACACTGGACAGTATCATTCAGGTTAAAAAAAGATGTAATATTTTCATTCTCGATGATAATATATTTCTAGACACTCTATACTTCATTACAAGTCATAGGAACTCCCTCGTCATATATGCACTAGACATATAATTATCAAAAAAAAAATTCAAACAGTAGGCAACAAATTCGAGCTCTTAACCTCCAAACCCTCTCACCTGCACCAAGCATGCAATTTTGAAAAAAAAAAAAAAAAAAAAAAAAAAAAGATTTTAACCTTCACACTGAGATCAGAGTCCCACATTAAACTATCACCTTTGAGGTTAAGAAAAGTATGATTTGGGTCAAGTATGATTTAAGTATTCATATATATATATATATATATATATACTCTAACACACCGTATTACGAATGGATTGAACCCATAAAAAGTGTGTTACTCACATAATTAAAAAATATTACCAACACTTGATGATAATGAAACATGCACGCATCCGCAAACAGGAAGCCTATGAGACTATGAGTGCATGTTGTTTGATCATAAAATATATATATATATATATATATATATATGAGAAGAAGAAGAAGTAAGTTTTGTGTAAAAAGGGCAATATATATATATGAGAAGAAGTACAAGTCTAAACACCGTTCATTGACAGCCCACCTAATTTAGATGGGATTAATCAGTCAGTCATTTTTAATTTAATTGGCAATCTCTAACTGAATTGTTGTTGAACTCCAGTTAGATCAGCAACAACAATTTATTATCATGTTTGACACCTTATCAAGGAACAGCTTTCCCTCTATCCGGTTTTATTTCACAATTCTAACCTAAAACTAGCAACCCTCTAGTTTTTCAAACTTGCCCGTACATAGTCAAAAGGACATTTTCTGTCATTATCATAGTCAAAATATATGTATATCTATCCATAGGGTGTACTTGGTGGATCACAATTGTTGTGTTTTTACTTTGATTCTGTTTTATAGTGTATTTAATATTATTCGAATGTTTGTTTAATAACTAATATTTGTTGTGAGATTTTTAAAAATAAAAATATAAAAATATGTTAGGTAACAAAATGTTACAAGATTAAAAATTTTAATTGACCGCTTAAAAAGGTCATTTTACAATTTTTTTCTTTTGTTGTTTTTTCTACATTGATTCCAACCTCTTTTTCGAAAGTGTTTTCATTACTACTTAAATCACAACAAAAGTTACTATATACATTTCGTACTTTTGTTTTGTTCCACTATACTGGCAAAAGTAAAAAACACAAAGCTAAGGGCCCGTTTGGTAACCACAATTATTTTGTGCTTTTGCTCTGACCCGAAGTAGATTTCTACTTTAAAATGTGTTCAACATTATTTAAAAACTTGTTTGATAACGTAAATTTGTTACAAGATTTTTAAAAGCAAAAACATGAAAACATATTTGGTAAAAAGTGTTGCAAGTTTAAAAATTTAAATGATTAGTTAAAAATGTTATTTTAGAATTTATTTATTTATTATTAATACTTTTTTAACAGTGCTTTGTTACAATACGGAAGCAAACAAAAGCATCATTTTGATGTTTCCGATTTTGGCCTTAATTTTGAAAGCGCTTCTGTACTATTCAAAAGCACACCAAACATGCTTCGTACTTTTGTTTCATTACAATACACTAACAAAAATAAAAAAAAAAACACGAAACAAAAACACTAACCAAACATGCCCAAGGGATTTCCAAAGAGACCATGTACATTGATTGTGTACCTGTCTTGGCTTGAAAAAATTAATCTTTAATCTACAACAAGTATTGATGTAAGTTGCCCACTTTGTAAAAGCTAGTCCTAAACTTTAAGGTCATCGTTTCAATTTTTGAGAAGTCAATTAGTCACAAACATTATGTTTAATCTTTCTTTTTGGGGGGGTAACGTAAATGGTCATGAACTAATTGAATGACTCTCCCACCACGTTAACGAAAAAATATCATGTATATGCTATTAAGAGTAAGAAGTAGAACATAGAACATATTTCATCTACTTTTATGTAATTTTTTATTTTTATTTTTATGGAACCATATCACAAAAGTGAGACTAGTAAAGAATACTTGCTCCAAAAAATTATAATAATAATAAAAAAAAATTAAGAAAAATGAAAGAGATCTAGTAAAAGACTAAAGACTACTCTCTCATCTATATGTTTACACTCTCAATCCAACAACTAGACAAGGAAGCTGGCAAGAAGAGAAATCTCAACATAAATTTTCCTATTTTTGTGTGATTGTGATTTGATTAGAAGACAAATCCAATATGTCAATTTTATTTTTGTGTGTGTGGAAAGGAGTGAATTGTAATTCTACTTTGAAATGTTGGAATGCTCACATCAGTTGTTTTCCTTGGACATGCAATATGAAAATGAGTTTGACTAGTTTGATTGTTCCAATAATTTTGGAAATAACATTTGCTAATTAAACATAAAAAATAAAATAAAAATAAAACCATTCTCATTTCTAATTATTATAAACCTAAAATAAACTTGCTCTGTAGAAATTCAACCCCAGTGGAGAAGAAGAGACTTGTAAAGCAAGCATTCATGAAATTTGTTTTCAGTTTTGATAGGCCAGTGGGTGCACCAACTCTTTAGGGTTGAACTAAGTTTTTTTTTTTTTTTAGAATCAGACCATCTTGCTTAATCAAAACCTAATCTGCCAACCTCATAACAACCATCTCTCTCTTTTCTTGCCCCATAAAAGCACCCTCTCTTCCCCTCTACACACACCCACTCTCAGTCTCTTAATCACAACCATTACCACCCAAACCATCATTCAACAAAGTCTTGACACACCAAGTAAATGATCATCAACATGGAAGCTTTCAACACCATACACAAAACTTGGTGCTCCTTCCTCCTCTTGGGACTCCTGCTTCTACTTGCTAATGTCGCACCGCTAGCGAATGCAAAAACTCACTATCATGGTTTTGTTGTGAGTACTCTCTCTCTATCTATCTAGCTATCTATCTATATATATATATATATTAATTTATACAACCTTGGACAGTGATTAATAACTGTTTGTAATGGAATAGGTTCAAGCAACAAAAGTGAAGAGGCTATGCAAAACCCACAACAGCATCACAGTGAATGGACAATTTCCAGGACCAACATTGGAAGTGAATAATGGAGACTCTCTAGTGGTCAAGGTCGTCAACAGAGCTCGATACAATGTCACTATTCACTGGTATGTAGTGTGCATGATGCATGCATGCACGTCAACATGTACCTCTACAAAATATACATAATCATATTTGATATTTTACATGTCTATAGTGTGTGTGAATATATGTCTAAGTACGCATGCACAAAGAGTGCGTTTGATCCTACGAAAGAATAAGAACCCTAACGTAACTTTCAGCATCAAAAGGTCTCTCATTCTTTTTGATGAGTAGTTTCGGCTATTTTAACATTTTCTATAATTTTTCACTATTACCTCTCTTCAGGCATGGAATTCGACAGATGAGAACAGCGTGGGCAGACGGCCCAGAATTCATAACCCAATGCCCGATTAGACCAGGAGGGAGTTACACCTACCGATTCACAATTGATGGACAAGAAGGGACACTATGGTGGCATGCCCATAGCTCCTGGCTCAGAGCCACTGTTTATGGAGCTCTGATTATTCACCCTAAAGAAGGATCTTCCTACCCACACACAAAGCCAAAACGTGAAACACCCATTCTTCTTGGTATTCACTCTCTCTTTTTACTTGTCTTAATGATAACATCTAATTTACTCACTCAGTAATAATCAACACAGCAAAAATATTCGACTCATCTTTTTTTAATGTAAATTTATTTCACATGTTATAAAACAACTGTCTGAAAATAACCAGGTGAATGGTGGGATTCAAACCCTATTGATGTTGTGAATGAGGCCAGAAGAACAGGAGCATCTCCAAACGTGTCTGATGCATACACCATCAATGGCCAACCTGGTGATCTCTACAAATGCTCCAGCAAAGGTTTGCTACTATATCAACTCATCAGCTCCTCTGTTCTCCTTTACCGAACTCCTAAGATGAAATCCTTCTACCTGAAAATGAATTGAGATATAAAATAATCAGCCTAGTGAATTCGGTAGCATTGATCCAAGCATCATTATTTTACAAGATTACTTCACCATTGTAAACTAAGCACAGCTTAATTACTGATATTCAAAATCAAATTCCCCAAATACCAAGGATAGATTAAACCTATACATAAATACATACATATATATATATATATATACTGGTTCGTTAGCATGAAAAAAGGTTTGAAAACCACCACCTGACATAAACATCATAACTAAGAGAGGGAGACATTTGGCCATGATGGGCAAATGAACAGAGGGTCTTTCAAAGGATAGGGCATGAATCACCCACCAACACTAACATAGATTCCACATCACGCATGCTTAACTTATGATTTCGAGAAAATGATCTGCTGATATTGCTACCATGCAGACACAGTGATAGTTCCAGTGGACTCCGGCGAGACCAACCTGCTTCGAGTCATCAATGCTGCACTCAATCAACAGCTTTTCTTCACGGTTGCCAACCACAAGCTCACAGTAGTTGGAGCTGATGCTTCTTATCTTAAACCCTTCACTACCTCAGTTATCATGTTGGGGCCTGGACAAACCACTGATGTCCTAATCACTGCCGATCAGCCACCAGCTAGATATTACATTGCAGCACGTGCCTACGCCAGCGCTCAAGGCGCACCATTTGACAATACAACCACCACAGCCATCCTTGAATACAAGACTGCCCCTTGCCCAGCCAAGGGTGCTTCAATCAAACCCGTTTCCCCATCTTTACCTGCATATAATGACACAGCCACTGCCACAGCCTTCACTACCACCCTTAGAAGTCCCCGAAAAGTTTCAGTCCCTACTGATATCGATGAAAACCTCCTATTCACAGTTGGTCTAGGACTCAACAGTTGTCCAAAGGGTGCCAGGGCACGCAACTGCCAGGGTCCAAATGGAACCCGCTTCACTGCAAGCATGAACAACGTATCTTTTGTGCTCCCTTCCAGCGTATCTTTACTGCAAGCACATCAGCAAGGTATTCCAGGAGTCTTCACCACCAACTTTCCACCAAATCCACCAGTAAAATTTGATTACACTGGAAACGTGAGCCGAGCACTCTGGCAACCTATTCCGGGAACTGAAGTGTACAAGTTGAAGTATGGGTCAAGGGTGCAGCTGGTGCTACAGGGAACGAGCATATTCACAGCAGAGAACCATCCAATTCATCTTCATGGATATGATTTCTACATCGTTGCTGAGGGCTTCGGAAACTTCAATCCCAAAACCGATACAGCTAAGTTTAACCTTGTTGATCCACCTATGAGGAATACAGCTAGTGTACCCGTCAAAGGATGGGCAGCCATTAGATTTGTTGCTGATAATCCAGGTAAATATATCTGAAAATTTTACAGAAACAGCTATCTCAAATATCGCATTCTTCCTGCATATTTTCATTCAGCAATTTGATGTTCAAATTCTTATGTTTGGACAAAAACAGGACTTTGGATCATGCATTGTCACTTGGATGTTCACCTCACCTGGGGCTTGGCCATGGCTTTCATCGTGGAAAATGGAGTTGGGGAATTGCAGTCACTAGAGCCTCCTCCAAATGATCTGCCTCTCTGTTAATATCATGGACAGAAGCAAAGCCACAAATTAAATTTAGTGTGCCCTGTAACAAGGGTAGTCACTTTTTTCTGATTCTAGTACACGAGTTCAGTGTTGTTTTCCCCGCATTGGGGCCAGTTCTTTGTTCTTAATTTTTATTTTTATTTTTCCTTTCATTGTTCTTTTTTTATAGATAAAGAGTCAAGAGATGGTAACATGATTGCAAAACCAAGAACCATCTATTTAGAATCAGACCCAACTTGTTACTTGATTATAGATTCTATTGTTTCTGGAGCCGATTATAGAAAATCTTTTTGTTTCTGAACAATTGAGCATTTATTGTATAATGTCAATATGGGAAAGAAAGATAAAGAAAATGGTAAAATAAAAGTTAAACCTCAACAAAAAACAGGAATGTTCACAACATGGACCATCATTTGCAATCTGAAGGTTACAATGAATAAAAAAAATTAAAAATTAAAAAGAATTGATGCTGGTGAATTGCCATTCTGGCATTCAAGTGAATCTATGATCCATTCTGAACAACATCAAAAATGCAATTAAAGCCACTTCCGATATCAAGTACCAGAATATTTATACTATGAGACTTAAAGAATCATACACGAGTCAATGTATCTCAAGAGATTCATTGAGCTTTTTAGAAAATTTAGATTATGTCAGTAATATTCACAAAATATACCTTCTTCTTTTTTCCCTGAATAAATATGCATTCTGAAGCCAACAATCTCTACTAGTTATTAATATAAACTATAAAGACATAGTACACTGGCATGGTACTATATATTTGAAATTTTGAATTAGCCAAGGGACACAAGGTCATCAACTTCTGATAAGCATACAGTAAACTATTGACATAGTGATAACAAATCATGAGATTTATTCAACCCCTAAATAATTTAGAATGCAGCAGGAAAGAGGACTAATGACAGGACTAAATCGTAAAAGGTTCTTGCATGTATTTTAAAATGAGGGAAGAAAAGAGAAGTATAAGAACAAAGGAAATATAAGCTGTCGTATTATTTAATATATAGCAAATTGTTTAAAAGTATTATTTGAAATATTACAAATAGTTCCTTAAATATTTACAATATTTTAGATGTTTTATGATTGAGTTTAGGAAAGTAAATGGATAAAGTTCCAAAATGTTTCATCTGTTAACTTGGGGTATAACTTGAGACCACGTTCTAAAAATTCAGAGCTCATATCCCATGGTTCTCAATAAGTATAGATGGCACTAAATTTAATCGTTAAGGAACAGCAAGAAGTCCCTCTCTGCCCTCAAACACACAAGAAAATATGGTATGAGACTCGAAATTTCCCTACATTGATTTAAGGAGTGGCAAATTAGCTGAGTTCACCAAGAAGGCAATTAAATCCAGCAATATATGCCAACCATCAGGAAATAGAATCATTGTCTCCCATTTTTTGTACGTATATTATATATCCAACCATTTTATTTTCTCAGCAGTCCGAAATAAATTTATAAACTAGTGTATAATTATTTGTACAGTATCAAGTTTAGGATTCAATGAAGGACGACTCCTACTTTTTTACCACGTCAAGCAATTCCTTTACTACCTCTTGTACATGAAGGATATTGGTACCCTTTCCTTTCACCACCTAAATTATGTGTCATTCATTCGGCCGCGACTTTTCGATGCAAGTTGTTAAAAAGCAAGATGGAGATCTAAAATTCACTAAATCTTTCTAGGCTTCTACAAATATATAGGCAGATTGCAAAACAATCTAATCAAGCTGAATATCGTGGTGTTTGGAAAAAGTTCTGGCATGAGTGTTCAAGATTGGGTCAAAATTCAAATAGTTTGGGGCACTCAAGATTGGCTCAGCTCCACTAGGATAGGCCACTGATTAACCAAAATAAATCATTTATATTTGATAATTCTAGACAGCATTAACTCATCAAAGTCAAATGAGATCATAAAAAAACAGAAAATAGAAAATGCAATAGAGATCTGAATCAAGCTAAATAATAAATTAATAATCATGTATGAGATCATCAAAGTGAAATGCCTAAACCCAAAGACATCCTGAAAAATCAAATACCACATACACCAAAGTTCCAAAAATAAATCAAACAAGAGAGATATAAGAAAAACCCCAATCAGGTATTGAAGAAACACCTCAAAAAAAGAAGGCAAAGCTTACAGAATATGGAGAATCGGATCAGACCTGTGTATTGGCAACATCTGACCCAATAAACAATGGTAAAATGACCTCCACGCACGTCTTCAGTAAAAATGGAGGAAGAGAACTTGGGGTTAGGGTTTAAGACTTGAATTGATAGTTCAAAACATGAAAGGAGGAGTTCTGGGTCCGTTGAAGTTCTGAAATTTTCTGAGATCGACTCACTGAAATGTGTTAAGTTTGCAGAGTTGAAAATCTGCAAATTTACTGAATCGTCAGTTTTTTTTTTTTAAACAAATCGTCAGTGTTAATTCGGGTTCATGGGTCATTGTGTAGAAATATTCGTGTCAAAATAGTACATGCAAGAAATTTTTTGGTTTAGATGGTCAAAATGGTCAAATACACTTTTTGATTTGGATATGATAAAATTTTCAAGGGTTAATTACAGTGACACCCCTTGAGGTTTACTATAATTACAGCCATATACAAGTTAGACCATTTTTAAACGATGACACCCCACTAGGTTTGATAAAGTTAACAAGACACCCCTTGTTAGAATTTTTTATCCAAACAAACCCTTAAAAGGTGAGAAAAGACTAAATTGCCCTTCAATAAAATACTAATTTTTAATTTAAAATATCCAAATCTTCAAATGACAGAATTACCCTTATGACTTCTAATTTTATATCTCTATCCTCTTTCACTGAAAACCAGAAATTTTGCCCCCAAAACCACCACTGCCACCTCCAACAAAAAACGAAACAGAGAGATTGCAAATGGGTTTAGTGAGAATTATTGCATACTATTAATTAATTTCTCTATGCCTATCCAATGTGTTTCTTCAATTTTGTGGGCAAATATATATATATATATATATATATATATATATATATATATATATATATATATTTCTTGAAAGAATGAACAGAGGCAATAGTGGTAGAGAGAGTGGAGGCGGTGCCGGGCCTTCGTCAAAGCATCCACTGGCCGTGGAGACTCGGCGGCGAGCTTGCGAGCAAGATGGAGAGCACGGGTGTGGATGAACTGCGGCAAAGCGGTGACGGACTAGCTGTGACGGCTTGATGAAGCCGATAGAGACGGGCTGGTTAACTGCGGCGGTGAGCGAGGAGGGACTCTCGGCTTTGATGATGTCCACCGACGGGCAAGGAGAACTCGGTTGTGGATATTTGCGACCGGCGATGAGAGCGACGGCGAGCTCGGCCAGTGGCTGTGGATCGGTGAGACAGATCTGGATGTCCACCGGCAGGGACTCTCGGCTTTGATGATGTCCACTGGCGGGCAAGGAGAAATCGGCTATGATTTGCGACCGGCGATGAGAGCGACGGCGAGCTCAGCCGGTGGCTGTGGACGGTGAGACAGATCCGGCAAGGGAGGTGGAGCTCGGCTGTGGTTGGCGACGGTGCTACTATCCTAATTTTTTGTTGGACTTGGTTTTATATATATATGATGGTGTTGATGTAATAATGTATATATATAAGGGCAAAATTGACTTTTCATAAGTTCTGATATTTTTTCTCAAAAATGAATTAAACATTGAAGGGCAATTTCGTCTTTTTAACATTTTAAGGGCTTGTTTGGATCAAAATTCTCACAGGGGGTGTCATTGTTCAAAAAATGGCTACGTTATATATGGCTGTTAATACATCAAACCTCAGGGGTTTTCGTTGTAATTAACCCAATTTTCAACTTTAGAGAATCAACGAGGTTTACATGGTGTAACCGTATTTTTTTATATATATAATAATAAAAAAAAAAATAAGTGACATGAGTACATGTGCTTTAGAAAATATTAATTTAATTTCTTTTTTAGATTATATGTAATACTTAGGGTGTGTTTGGATAGACGGGGAGAAAAAAAAAAAAGAAATGATAGTATTAGTTATGAAAGAAATGAAAATAAATGATAGTAATAATTTTAATTCGTGTTTGGATAGATATGGGAGAAAAGAAAAGAAAAGAAAGAATAGTTATTCTTGTTTGGATAAGGTATAGGAGAGAAAAGAAAATAAAGGATAATGACCAAATTACTATCCTACCCTTTTATAACCACTTCACATATTATCCATTTCCAAAATCTCATATAGGATATTTGGAATGTTTCTTTGTGATAGTTCAATGCAATGAGTAAAAACAAAAGTAAAAAAGAAAAATAAAAAATAAAAAAATAAAAATAATGGATGAAAACAAAATTAGGACATAAATGGAATAACTTTTATTTATATTGATTTGTAGAGGGTATTTTTTGTATTAAGAATTTACAACTTACTCCACTATTCTTTCTCTCCCTATCTTTTCAAATTGGGAGAGAAAATTTATAAGGGATAAGGAGGGATAGCTATCACTCCTTCTCTCCCTATCTTTTCTTTTTTCTTCAATTAAGTTACCCAAACATACTCTCAAACTATCCTCTCTTTTCTTTTCTCTCCTTATCCCTCCAAATCAACCCTACCAAACATACCCTTAAGTAAATATATTAATTTTAATTAATTTGAGATTTTTTGGTTTAGATGGTCAAAATAGTCGAATACACTTTGTGATTTGGATAAGATAAAATTTCCAACTTTAGAGTATCAATGAGGTGTATGCTTACATGGTGTAACCGTATTTTTTTATATATAATAATAAAATAAGAGACATGAGTACATGTGCTTTAGAAAATATTAATTTAATTTCATTTTTTAGATGATATGTAATACGTAAGTAAATAAATTAACTTTAATTAATTTGTTTTTTAAAAAAATTTGTGTCAACTAAAATTTCAGCACTATGTAATAATTTTTTCATAAGTTTATAGCTTAAAATGTTACATGAAGATTAAATTTTAGAATTAGTGCAAAGATCTTATGGAGTACGCTTTTCATACTTATAATTGGCTAAGCAAGCCATGCTAGTTAACCCGAAGTTCTTCAATTTGAATAAGGTTTGAACATGAACAATTAAAAATTTTAACATAATCTCAAATGTAAATATTTAAGATGTTATAACGAGACTATTGAAAATTTTAAGAAAGGGATTTTAATTAGGTGTTGACCTTTTAATTAATTAACAAGTTAAGAATTTTTAATATTTTTTCAAATTATAACTGTTGAATTTAAATGTTTTAAATAAAAATAATAATTTAAATGTTTAATGTGATGTAAAGTTGGCCTTACTTACAAATTTTGAGTTCTCAAACAACATCTAACTCTAATATTTATTTTATTATTTTATTTTTATTTTTTAAAGTTAAACAAAATTACAGTAATTTTATATCTTTCTTTTCTTATAATTTTTTTTTTTAATTTTCTGAACATCCATGATATGGTAGTATGGCACAACCATACCTTTATTTTCCTCTACACATTATTTATTAATAAAAATATATATATTTGATAGTATCTGATAGTTTAGTTGAATCAAAATTTACATTCAAGACCTCTTTATCAAGTTGTTGATTTAGGTCGTTTGGCATGTGTTTTATTTTTGCTATTTTTGTTTTTTTGTTGTTACAGTGTCGATTTTAACTAGTGACGGAGCCAGGATTTCAAGTGAGGGGGACGCACTGCCAAACAAATATATATATATATATATATATAACAACTATAAAATTCAAAAAGAAGAAGAACATTATTAAAATATAAAAGGAAAGAAAAATGAAAGAACTTTAATAGGAAATAGTTAAAAAGTTTCAATTGAGGAAGAAAAATTTTACTTTTTCTACTAAGAAAATTTAAGAAATGTGAAAAGTAAAAGAAAAAAAAAAAAAGAATATAATTTTAGGAACTACAAATTTGAGGGGGGCACTATATAAATTTTTTCATATGTATGGAAATTTTTTTTAAAATTACCACATATATTATAGGTTGCTCACCAACTTAGGGGGGCAGGTGCCCCCTAGGCCTTCATTGGCTCCGTCCCTGATTTTAACAATAAAAACATGTTTGATGCGACCTTATTTTATTTTACGCAGTGCTAAAATATTTCGTGAATAGTGGTGCAAAATTAAAACACCAAAAATTAATTTTTAATAACTATTCAAGGCTCAAAACTATATTTTGCATATTTGTATTTCCGACATTTTCACAACAAAATATTATTTACAAACATGATTTCGAATTTTTACCAAAACACTCTTAAGCAAAAAAAAAAATTATTTCTGTTTTAACAAAAAATAAAACGCTTAAAATAAAACGCATGCTAGACGGTCCTAAATAGTTAGCTTATATGTTCAATTCTTGTGTCAAAAGTTCTAAAATTGAAAAAAATTCATATTCAATATATAATTTTTGGAATCACACATTATTCATAGGGATTCAAACCCTCCTTGAACATTAAAAAATATATATATATATATATTATTGATTTAATGTCCCACTAATTCATATTCAAATTTAATTTAGTTTACTATCTTAGTATTAAATTAGCATTAATTCAATTTACTTAGTTAAAAGGTTTTATTTGTTAAGAGTATCTAATACAACAACTGCGCAATAACTTTTAACATTTAACTTTGACTGTCTTAATACTAAAGCCACAGGTCATGAATGACATCCCCATCTCTGACTCTTTGAAAAATGCACGTCAAAAGCAAGAACATTTGAGGGCATTAGAGTAACTTCGAGAAAATGGTATAGCTGAAAGAAAACAAGAACTTTATACAACGTAATAAAAAATCGAAGAGGATAGAACGAAGGAATTACTGCTGAACAGGCACGTGTCGTTCATGAAACTTCGGTAACACGGGTCAAAGGATCCTTATGCCACGTTATACTACATATGAGGACAATGTATATTTGCTGTCAAGAGAAGGCTATAAATATCTCTAACAAGTCTCAGCCGATCCCAGATTTTTTTCTCTCCCTCTCATTCCGGTCGAAGAGAAAATAAAACACTTCGAAGACGAACAACCAATATTGAATCGATCGAGCAGAAGCAGTTTCACAAAACACATACGATTTTCTATTCAGCGCTCTCTTAGTCTCACATCGAGTCCAAATTTATTAAGAGGTACGAGGATTATAATCTTACTCCTCATTTCCTCTTTACACACGCATACACACACAAATATTGGTTTTTTTTTTTTTTTTTAAGAACTTAGAGGTTTTGGTTAAATATTCTAGAACTTTAGGGTTTTAGAGTTTTATTTCATTATTTTCCCCCTACAAGTCTTGGAATTTTGATTGATAAGCTGATATTTGGGGAGATTAGAAAATATTCTAAAAGTGAAGAGATTAAAAATATTTGTGGAGGGTAAAAAATATTCTAAAAGAGTAAGTAGTTTTGTAAAGTTACTAAATATTTGTACTTAGGAGGTGTATATATAGAACCGAGGTAGTCCTCCAAAACTAACCAATTTTAGGAATGAGCATTGAGCATTATTTCCTCTTATGAACTATTTCCATGTTTTTAGGTAGCAATTTCAACTTATTGAGAATATTGTATACTTGGGTGCCAAGCAGTATTTTAAGCCCAAAGAATAGGGGCTTAAAATATTGTATAATATTGTTTTTCTCATCGTTTCTTCTTTTCTGTCTAATTTTCTTTGTAACCAAGCATTTTAATGATAGATTCAGTCTGTTTAATGATAGATTCAGGCTGAATAATAAACTCTACATCCATCAGATCAGAGATGGAAGAGCCTCTAATTGGACTTCTGTCACCCTATGGGGCTGGTCCATCAAAGAGTTCGATGAATGAATCAATGGAAGTGGTTACGGATATCAATCAGGACAATGGGTTCACATTGCATACCATTTCAGCGATGAAATGTTCGATGTGGAAGAGCTACTTGGGGATGAAATGTTCGATGTGGAAGAGCTACTTGGGGTTCTAACTTCTCCCTATTCTGGTCCACTGTCCAACTATGACAATGTGGGGCATGAAATGTTGGAATTTATATATATATATTTAAATAATAAAAATTATTTTATGGTCCTATGCATTACGCTTTTTAAAATAGGATTGCAATGTGATTATTGATACTTGATGGATTGGGTTGTACTTTCCAATTTGATGGTCTAATTGGGAGTATAGTTTTATACTGTTGGATTGTGGCTTTTTAACTTATTTGGTGTGATTTAATTATAACCATTAATATCTAAGTTTCTATGATAGGAAGAGAAACTTAAGTATGCTTGTTTGTAGAGAAGCCGTTCCCACTGTTGTTGTTATATATAAGGGTTTTAAAACTCTTATTCAGACCTATCGTATCGACAACTTTCAGAAGGAGGTAAAACGCTCTAATTTTTCAGATCTCTCAAAAGGTGCTAAGAAATTCTTAAAGGTATCAAAAGATTTAATCATCAATCAAGTACGAGCCTAAATTCCCTATTTAATTAATTGTAATATTCTTGATTTCTACATGTGAATTATTTATTTAAACTCAACAATTGGTATCAAAGCTATGTTAGGGTTTAAATTTTTTAGTGTAGAAATCATAAATAAATATTGCACAAATTATATTGATGTCCGTGGTGATAGTTAACTCGGGATTACGCCGTATTACTACGTCTACCTGTATGTATGTATATTATAGATGTTAGATCAAATCTGACGAAACTTGAACAGATAGCATTAGTAGGGTATGGTGAAAAGAACTCTCTTTTAAAAACTTACAGGTTGAGTTGACAAAACTGATGGGGTAGACAATTTGACAAAGAATTGATATTATAACTACATATACGAATGTGTGTGATGAAGAGTCAATTAGTCTTCCATGTGCTGTCATAAAAGGAACAAATGCTTTATATATATATATATATATATATATATGTTGTTTCCTATATATATGTTTGCTTCTGATGGGCTTAGTTTCGTGAGCTTGTGACCCAAGTGGGAGCTTTAAGGCGTTGGAAAATTTGTATTGGGTCAGGTGGTGAGTGCACACTCATAAAGTTCTTCACGAACTAGATGATTTGTGGAGATTTAGCCGACTTGTCAGAGCAGCAAGAAAACAGAGCTTAAGGGGTTAAGCTGGCCTGTGCCTTCTATTTGGCGGCCCTTGGAGTGAGTTGCAATGAGCCTCTCTTCACCATCCAAACCCAATTGTTTCTTATGAAACCAAATTGAAAAGAAAAATTCTAAATATTTGAATTTATAATTCCAATTGGATTTTCCATCTATGTTGAATGAATTTTCATATCTATTTATATATAGACAGGATTACATATGTTCATTAATGACTTATTTGAGAAGATTTCAAGTGTTAAGTTTGATTGAATTTTAATTAATATAATATTCAAGCTAAAGTATGTTGTGATACATGTAGTATATTTGCGATTGTACTCCTACGGTTTGGAGGAGGAGGAGAATTGATTGATTAATATTTTTAATATTATTTATTAAAATCTAATATTTTATGTGTATCAATATGAGGTATATATCTTGAATTACATGTACAAATAAATTTTAGTTTAATATGAAGCTGTGTGGCCGGCTATCTAGCCATGCTTTATGTCGAGTACTTTTATTAAGTAATTCATGATATTTGTTTAATTTTTAAATTAAACAACTTATAGGACTTGTGTGCTATAAGCAAACAGTATTAACTTGATTAATTTAAAGAATCTAGTATTTTAAATTATTCATCGGATATATAATATACATGCATCAAAGTTTTTATTATTATTTTATTTTAATTAAAGTATATAAAGAATTGAGACTTTAAATCTCAATTGATGTACATGTTATTATTATATTGTTCACTGTAATTTCTTAAGATGTATGAGGGGGCTTTATTTTTTTTTTGTGTTAAAGCAATTTATATTACGGTGAAATCAAATGTTCCATAATATTTGGGTTTAGTTTATGTGCATTATAAAGAAATTATTGAACTTAAATAAATGAAACTTCTGCAGTTTAGGTTCTTCCTTGGGGTTTAGGAAAACTGGTAAAGTGACCGTTTCAAATGTGGTAGCCAAAGTGGGTGATGTCTGCCAAAAGGTGACACGCTCACTGAAGTTATTATTTTAACATTTTAAGATATTGGTCTTATTGAGGTCTCACAGTACATTTACCTACATGAAGGCATTAGTTCTGCCAAAAGGTGATGAATGTCTTAGTGTGGGATAAGTAAGTAGAATATTTGAGAGTGCTTGGATTATAACTAAATAACCCTCTTGCCAAAAAGTAGTGGAAGTGTTTAGCAATAATTCAAGTATAATCAAATAGGTCTATGTGCGATTTGATCGCAGGTTTGGGGGTAAAATAAAATCTAAAATTCTGCCAAAAGTTAATTTTTAGATGACATTTTATTTGTTCCCGCGGGGTAGATGGTTTTGCACATAGTAAAACACCTTGATAAATTCGACTTAAGACCCCAAGCACGAATTAAAGTTATAATCCCTAAAGCTGAGATATATTACTATATGTTGTTTATGTGATGTTATTCAATATAACATTTATTCAGGTTACAAACGTTTCCGCAATTTAAAGATATCGCATAAGGATTGAACCATTGAATGGTTAAAATTATATTGTCTAGAAGACATATTTTGATATTATATTGGATTTATTGGACTACGTGTCTGTTGTTTTAGAAAGAAACCCATATGCCCAGTGCATTGTTTTCTTAAGTAGAAAAGTTGTTGCATTTTTTAAGTGAACTACAGGTACTACCATGCCATTAGATTAATTTATACTTCTATTGGTGATACTATTCAGGGTGGTATTCTAGTTTTGATACTGCCAAGGAGCTTCTTGATTTGATCAAGAAAGAGTTAATGGGTATTAAGAAATAACTACAATACTATTATCTGACATAGATTATGTTAGTGAGATATGATAGTAATGGTTCAGTGAGGGAGTATATCTATAAGATGTGCAAGCTGGTTAATAATCTGAGGTAGTAGAGAATCATATTTGCTAATAAGTTAATTAGTCCACATGGTGATCTATTCTCTGCTTAGGTTTTTCCAACTTTTCAAGATGAATTATAATTCACAATAAGTTAAATGTGGCATTAACCAGCTGTTTGCATTTTGTGTTATTGAATGGAAACGACTCAAGGGTGTTAGAACTGAGTCAGCTTATCTTGCGGTGATAGTAAGATAGTTTCAAGAAGAAACTAGGCGGCAAGAAAGTGTGTAAGGCTAATAAAGAAAGGCAGAACAATACATGAAAAGACATTGATCATAGAATGATAAATGTTAGTTCTGTAGAAATAAAAGGATATCAAAAGAAAAGGTTATTGTGGTGGAAAAGAAAACTAAAGTAGGAAAAGAAAATTCCCATGTTAATAGTTGAGCCTAACCTGGTAAAAGTATAGGTATAGACATGGTGGATGGATTCGAGTGTGATCCTACTTGTTTTTTGTTTTTCTATAGACTCGATACCTTCCGAATAAAATCGTGATTTGCTTAGAGGGGATTCATCTATGCTATGCATAGGATATTGGGGAATGTCTCTCCAAAGAGACTTGAACGCTTGGTCAAGGATGCGATTATTGGGCTGCCACAAATTTTATGCGTTGGTTGTGTCAAAGGATAGATGCTAAGAAACGCAATTTTGAGGCTAATCGGTCATTTGGTTTTTTGGACTATATTTATACCGACATTTGTGGTCCATTTTTATTGTAGCGACAAAGGTATTTCATTGTCTTCATTGATGGGTTCTCAATGTATGATTGTATACTTAATCCACCAGAAGTCCGAAACACTTGATGTGTGTAAAAACTTCTAGACTAAAGTTGAAAGTAGTTGGTATAAAGATTATGGTTTTAAAATCGGACTAAGGTGATGAGTTTTATTGGGAGAATGGTAAGGAGGGTGTAAATTGTAGTACTTTCAGTACATACTTGAAGAGTAGGGTATTGTGCCACAGTACACCATTCCTAGTTCTCCTGGGCAAAATAAAGTTACAGAAAAGAAAGTGTGGAGATGTCTTATAGAGACAGAGTTATATAATGCAGATATTAAGGAGCTTAATACTCACATTACCAATGATTATTTTATTAGACATCTTGAAAGATTAAAGAATTCGAGATTTTACTGTCCTGTAGACCTATAGAGATTATTGGAATATGTCATGCATATTTAATGAGAGTGGCGAATCCAGTAAGAGTTTAAGATATTGTAATTTCTTTTGCAGAAAAGTATTTTCAGCATATATTCTATTTATTTCAGGCTTTATTCCATTTTCTATAGTGGTTTCAGTTAAAGCTCTAATTCCCACTCTTTCAATTATTCCCACTCATTTAGTTATTTCTTCTTTGTATGCCTTTCTTTTAGTTTCCAATCTAGTTCCCAAGCCAGTTTAGCTTAGGAGATCTTCTAGAGCTTAGAAGTATACTGTAGTTGGTAATTTTGAGGTGTCTGGTGGATATAAGACAAAATTGGTGGTCAAGTGCTTAAGCAAAAGTGAAGTGTTATTTTCTTTGAGATTATTTTCCGGTTTCATTAAAGAACTCTTTAAAAGTCATTCTTTCATTATCACTCATTTATGGCTTAAATAAGTTTTACAGTAGTAGTATCCAAAATTTTGATACAGTGGTTACTAATTGTAAGTTCAAAGAGAATGTTATGGATAAATGCATATACCTTAAGTTCAGTGGGAGTCATTTTGTTTTCCTTGTCCTATTTGTTGATATTTTGCAAGGTAGCAATAACATTCATGTGATTCATAATATTAAGAATTTTATGTAAAGAATTGACATGAAGGACATAAGTATGCAAAGTATGTCCTTGGCATTAGGATTCATAAAGAACACGCTACAGGAATACTTGGACTTTCTCTAAAGGCTTATATTAATTTAGTATATGGAACAATTTAAGGGTGATCAAGCGTAGTAAGCCCATTGACATAAAGTACATTTTCAAGCATGAGAAGGTTAAGGTTGAAGTGTCATTAAGATTTTCCTATATGGTTACAGAAAGATTGTTGTAAGTCCTTTTACTAAAATCTTCAGTCGAAGATAATAAAGTATTTAAAGAGCACGTGAT